ATCCTTCGTGGCTTTGGCCATGTTCTAAGACGCTTAGTGCATAATCAGCTGTGTCCTATTGGATTGATATACCCTCACATTAAATAAAAATTCCCATATAATTTTCGGGAATTTCTATCTAATGCTCAAGACTCTTAATTCCACAGAACACACGTGATCCTTCTCTAACCTTTACAAAGTGAATTATAATTTGTTCGATTACAAATCGCTTAGCGTATGGCTTAAAGGCATTTTTCAACTCCCGAAGCGTAATGAGTTGCATAGCCATTGAAATTTTAATGTTTAATTTCCTTTATACAAATTATAACATTGCAGTTTTGTGATACAGCCTGTAGATAACGTATTTAACAATTATTTAACAATGGGGCTACTGCAGTTTAGCGGACACCTTGGACGCTGACCCAAACCCTACCCTTATAATCCTAAGCAAAAACAAGCCCACGCTCCCCATACAAGCGCTTCGGGTGTCCGTTAAACTGCAGTCTTGCCAACAATTGTTTAAATTATAATAACTCTATGAGTTTTCCTCCTATATGAAATATACGAGAATAAGAAGTAGCACCGAAATACTCGTTACACAATGAATGCTAATTATAAAGCTAATTTTACAGGACGTAGAAAAAATAAGACCTTCATAAATTGACCTATTGTGATTATTTCAAAACCAATGGGTTCATAAAAATTGCAAGCTATACGTTCATATATTGCATAACTCAGGTATTAACATGAAAGCTTTTCTGTCCTTGAAATGGAATGTAACTTCTTGACCAGGAACAGAATTTAGGCACCAGCAGGATTAGAATCGTGATCATGAAGGTGTTCCCTTTTTTGATAAGCCCGGTATACCGTTGCTAGAAGTGCAATAAGAATTGCGAAATGCAATTAGCAACACACCTAGAAACTACCCAATCAGAAGACAACATACCTAGGAACTGACCAATCAGAAGACAACATACCTAGGAACTGACCAATCAGAAGATATTAGTTTAAGCAACTTGTGACATATTTTAAAACTTACTCAACCTGAGAAGTGCCATACGACTCTGTACAACAGTACGTACAGAAAGAAAGGATAAAAGAAATCAAAACCCTTTGTCTGTGAAATACACCTTGAGTTTATTGAAACCATTTTCATTGAGGTAAATGTGTGTGATAAATGTTGGTTTTAACAGAGTATCTTTCTTCTATTGAAGTGGTAAATGTAAACGACACTGTGATCTTTATTCATGTAAAGTATGAGACCTTAGATTTAGAAACTAATTTTCGTTCCATTCTCGATTTTAGACATGAATATTTCTCTGTTAAAGACAAAATCGTCATCAAGTAAGGTTGAAAAACATCGATGTTTGTGGTTTATATTCTCCACAATGATGGACTTGCATAACTGTAAAGAAAGTGATGCATAAAAAATTAAATAAACATTTTCATAGCAGTTTTCTCCCTTCATTTCAAAAATAGTTTCACTAAGAGGTTTTAAAAGTTTTTTCATTAACTAAAAAAAAAATTTGTGTTCTGGAGCTCATTATTAAAATTTGTGTATGAATTAGAAAACGTGAAGTTGTATCAGCCGTTATTAGCCTGTTATTGACATGCATTTGTGTCGGTTTTACTCGATTTATTTTCGGAAACCTCTTTGTGAATATACTGCTTTAAGTAGCTACGTATGCTTGCCGCGGACGTTGCCTTGCAGAAGGATAGATAGGATCATGTAGCTTAGATCGGAAATGCAAGTGACGTTTGGCCAAAGAATGGCAACTTCTACTTGGGATTAGTGGGTTCAAATGGTACCTTAGCGTAGAGGATGCAAATAGCATCTGTAAGAAGACCCTAGAAGACTGGATCTAGCGAGCAAGACCTATTGAAGACAAAGAAAAGATGGTTGTTCTGGTGTAAAGAAAAATATATCTTTCCCCTAGTACGGTAAAAGCATGCAGTCCTGGTAGTTAGCCAATTTCATGAACGGCTTTCTACAGGGACTATTAAGGCACTCTTGGATCCCCTATAATGCATGAGTAGTTCAACCCACACCGGTTGGAGGTCACCCGTAGGTGCTACATGCACTAGGTTAAGTTACGTTAAGGGCATGATGGGTTACCTCCTTCAAGAGGCACTTCTTTTCAGGGCGGAATTTTGGTGTCATGCGCACGTAGAAAGTTTGGATAGCTCAGGCATGCGCTGTAGTTGCCGCGAGTAGTTGCTATGCTCAGATAACCAAAGTGTAGTTAGTACCTTTATTAATTTAAAGGACAAACACCAGTTTAGAGAGAAATTACTAAATAAAAATGTTTGGAAGAAACTTCCAATTCTTCTGTCGGTCATTTTCATACGACAAATTGAAACTTAAAAAGTATTCTGTTTGTTTAAGACATTTGCAGTTTAGGGGCGGCGTGGCAGTAATTATTGTAAATGTAAAAAGTGGTATGTTGTCTTCTTTTAAAGAGGACTTCTTTCCTGGGAATTTCAATACTTTTTGCCACAGCGCAAACGAGCAAAAAGTAAATGATTAGTACACCAGGTAATGGTATGCGAAATGCCTTCATAAAGAACCTAAAAGCAAACATATGGATATGGATTAGATGTTAAAAAGCACACGTTTTACGAAATTCCTATCGAAAACAATTTTCTCGGTCAAAGTAGAAAATTGTCTACATCAATGATAGATTTGTGTGTCGGTAAACTGTGGCGAATTCCGTGTTCATTAAAAATGGAGAATTTTAGAACTATATACCTTCAAGACCATATTTTCATCATTAAAAGTGCATTTTAATGTTTCTCTTTTACTTTTTTGGCTCTTTGAATCACTTCAAAGGTATGTAAAGTTTATTGTTTGTAAGGGTTCCCCCGGGGCGCGGAATTTCGGCTAAAATCCCTAGTGGCTTTTTCCTGTTCAGTATTCTCCAAGTTCTCGTGCCTTCGCGCTCGGTTTTGGTATATACCGTTCAGGTTTTGCCATTAGGGATTTTTTATTTCGGTTAAGTCTAAAAAAACACTGACCTTCGTAAGAGACTAAACTTCTATTTCATGTTATATACAATCATCAAAACTAAAGACAGAATTCATTTTGTAAAAGACGTTTTTAGAGTACGTGCTCCCGATAAAGTTGACATCAACATGAACCATTTTTAACCGTCTGACAATATTTGGAAGATAAAATTTCTGAATTATTTAATAAATCTATGATCTGCTTAATTTATTCTAAGCTGCTATAATTTACCCAAAATGTCGTCCATCTTTTTTGAGCCACATAGTGATGTTGGAATTGCTGCCGTAAAAACTGATGATTTCAAAAATTCTTAATTTTTTGCATGTTTGGACCCAAATGTTTCTTGAATTTCAAAAAATTTTCCATTGATACTACATCATTTGAATTGTTTTTTTTCACGCCCTATCTTTGGTGAGAATATGGTAATTGGTCATATAAACTTTAATGACTTCCGTGTTTGGATGGCCCAATATTATTTTAATAGATGGCCTGATTCTAATACGTGGGAGTTTTTGTATTTATGAAATTTTACGAATGAAAATGTTTTAAGCCCGAAATTTACAATTGCTTACGGGATATATTTTGCCTCAGGAATAGACAAAGTTGAAACAGATGTCAAATAAGTGCTGAAACGCCGTGGCCTCCCGTAAACCTTAGGCATCAAGTTATTCTTTCAATTGACCATCCAATATATGTCCGTGAAGTTGTCGAGAAAGTTATACGCCAGTATTCTAGAAACTCACAAAAACTCTAACCCTCAATGTGTGCAACACAAAAGTCTTGATCTTACTAATCATTGCAAACTCTTTTACCCATCAATCAGTGGTATAAGATTTTTGGTGAAATATTTCAAATCAAGCAATCAGTGGAGTGAATACAAGATCTTCCAGCAGTTATAAGATTATTTTTAAACTTTATTCAATGAATGTGGGTGAGAGTGTTTTTAGAATACAGGTGATACAAAGAGCGGTAGTTAACCTTACTTGTATACTCAATATTCATTTAATAAATCTTAAATATAAAGCATTTGCATGTTAGTTGCATGGATGGAGATACGAAATAATTATTAGGGTTACAGTATATAAAAACATCATAGAAAATAATGAACTATAAATATTTTCTATAAAAGTTATAAAAATATTAAATAATCCATTAGAAGAAATGCTGTTGATCTCATGAAAAATGTTATTTAATTCAATGTTTTGTATTGATTAGCTACGTAATTAATGTGAGATAGTAAAGAAAAGCACTCATAAATTCTACCTATAGAGTTGCTCAACAGACGATGCTTAGGTTTACAGCATAAGCAACTCCCAAGAGCCCATAACATTCAAGACCAGACTTTTAATCGGCGTTCTATACCAGATTCACTCATCACGACATCTTCATTTACAGGCTTCGTTTGTTTTTTTTAATTGCTTTTGTTCAGTCTCTTCAGACAGTAAATGTTTATTAAATTCAGAGCTTAAGTCTATTTAATTGTGGTTCTGGCATTAACCATTATCACTGCCTTTTAATACTTTAATAAACGGGACCGTGGTAATATTGTAATTCCAGAAATACAAAATATAGTATAAGAGTTCTTTATGTATTTTATAAAGTTGACTTTAAATGTCATGCGTCTTCAACAAAAGCAATTGAGAATAAAATTTAAATAGTCAGGTTTTGTATCATTCAATAATGTAAGCTAGATGCAGAAATGTGATTATACATCATCCAAATACGTCGTGAAATGTGTTTTGATACTTTACATCTATGAAATTATTCCTTTAACTACCGATCGTCGATTTCTTACTTGTTTTCCTGTCAGTAAACTTTTCATTGTGGTTCACTTTCATTAAAAACTGAAAAAGTTCTTACGTTCTGGGTTGTTTTTCAATTCGTCATTTCACCAGACAGCCGCACGTACCCGAACTGGGATTTCAAAAAGAACTCTTTAGGATCATCGACTATAAAATGGATAGTTTTAGTGCTGGTCGCAATCAATCGATCTTTCAATGAAAGCCAACAATAAAAATAATGATATACGTAAAAATTTATTTGTCTTTTCCAATCTGAGTAAATTCTATTTTACATGGTATCGTTCCTCTTCACTTGCCTTTTCACAAACTGTTCTTACTGTTTAAAAACTGTTTATTTTTAATGTAATTTCTTTTCACTGAAATTTAAAAGGTTCTTGAGATCTGGATTGTTTTTCAATTCTTCATTGGACCTCACAGCAGCATGCACTCGAACAGGAAGATTGGGGAATTTTTTGAGAATATACGCCTTGTGATTTCCAATCTTATAAAATGGTTCTGGTTGAGGTTTTGGCCGTGGTCGATCGTTCCAATGTTGGTTAATATTTCGAATTAGTCTTAAACATTCTGTCCATGAAGAGTCATATGTAAAAATCTTTCCAGTCACCACATCCGTTCTAAAATAATCATAAACATCACTGTCTATTTTACTTTTCCAATCTGAGGATTCACTATTCAATTGTTGAACGACACTACACAGGGGAACATTTGTCTTAATCTGCTGAAGATTTCCAACTTTACATAATAAGTCAAATTTCTCGTCATCCGACATAAGAAATGGATGTGTTAACGCCTCGTTGGCTGATGGCCTGTCTTCGGGTTCTCGGTTTAACATCCACAACAAAAGGTCTTTCAGTGTTTCATCCTTGATTTCGTCCAAGCCAACCGGAAGTCCATTTAACATATTGTCCAATCTATGCCGTTTAGTTCCAAATGGGTGTTTTCCTTTTGTTGCAATATAATAAGTTACCATTCCTGCATTCTAAAAAGATTAACAACGTAATGTTACAAATTGACTGTATACATGAATGTCGTACAAATGGCTATATTCCTGCACCTACCATTACATCAGACTCTTTCTTGTACCGTCCTTTATCGACTGTATCTTTATCTTCACAATATGATTCAGGAGCAATCCAATACTCAGTTCCCATGTTAGGCTTGCTTTCATGTGTCGTAGAATCGTTATCCAATATTCGACTAATGCCAAAGTCAGCTATCAGAAAGTTGTCTTGTGAATCTCGAAGAACATTGGTGGGCTTTAAATCACGATGAAGAATAGGATTTGGGCCACTATGAAGATCTACTAATCCTTGCAACATTTGTCTGAGAATTTCGGGAAGAGCGTTTTGAAGATCATGTAAAGTAGAAGACTTGACAAAACTCTCCAATGATTCTTCACATAAGTCTAATATCAAATATACATATTCTGTTCCAGTCTCTTCCTCTAGGAAAGAATAATTCACAACATATTTCGACCTTCTTGCGTTGAATTTATTCAAAATTTTCTTTTCGTGCAGCGCAAGCTGGATGTAGCTATCTCGACGTATTTGTTTCAGTGCTTTACCGTAACCATCCTTACCCAGTCCAAGATAAACACGTGTTCCATCACTTCCTTTGCCAATGCAAAACTCTTCTGAGAAAATTACTCGTACATTGCCCACCAATTTAACCTCAACACTGGAATTGCGTCCATATTCAATCAATTTTAAAAATAATTCTCTATGTTTCGTTGATTCATCAATGTATTTCCACTCTTGCAACACCAATTCTAAAAAAATTAGATGAAATATCATATTCAAGGGTGAAGGAAACGAAATTAATACCTCAAAATAGCTTAAACTTTCCCAATCAGGAAAGGATAATATTAGCTACCGCACATTTTTGAAAAAACTTATCAACAACCATTAGACAAGTCATAAGTTCTTCAATTGTACAATAAAATCTGGCAACATCTGAGGTTAGCTTATACAATACAATTAATTACAAAAAATTCTTTCTACAGTAAATTCACATATTTTTTTAAAGAAATAACCTTAAATTTTTGGAAAATATTAAGTTTAAATGTATAGAGCATATTTTTTAGAGTCTAAAAATTTTTATAGCAGTAAATAACAAAATAGCTTCATATAATTTTTTTTCCATTCTCGACACTCATCTTATAGACAGACTATCTTATGTTTGATACCAAATATGAACATTGAAGTTCGATCAGCAGCGAAAACTCAACAATTATTCTTTAAAACCTTTTTTGAACACCATTAAAGTGCCAATGAAACGAAAACTTTGCTAGTTACATAATATTTACATTGACTAGGACTTTGAAATGAATGCTTTCTAAAACCTTTTATGTATGACTCTTATGTAAAGTATTAGCAAATGTACCGAATAATTCTAGTTCTTACTATGCAATGTACGTCACAAGTTAGATGAAGCGAATATAATAAAAGCTTCAATATCTTGAGAACAAAAAGAGATACGCATAAACTAGTAGAGAAACTCCGTTGTCATAATAAAATTTCTGTTCAATAAAAGTATAACACAGGCTGCAAAATTTTCGTTTTATAGGCATTTTCAGCTTTAACTGTAAACTATCTGACACGTACTGTTTCTCTTATTCACCTTGGTAAAGTGAACCTCGTTGTCTTTATTTCTGCAAACTTAAGCCCTACCTCCTGTTTTTCTTATTCTCGTGCAACTTTGCTGGTATTGTTTTACCTTTGCCAAATTGAAGATGGTTTTTGCATTTTTCAATTATTTTACTAAGCACATGATGGTTTATTTGTAAGGAACAATTTGTCTGTCTTGTGTCTATTGTGTCAGGGTTTTCGTTATCGAGAAAATTTCTTTTTTGATGAAATTTTTAGTCAGGTAGAAAAGGAAACATGCAATTCAATAAATATTCAACACCACAAAAAAGTAAGCCATTTAAATTCTTCTCATATTTTTCAGCCCTTTCGATAAGATTCTTGTCTGTTTTAGAACATGTTGAACATGTGAAAGACATCATGACTTTGTAGTGCTAAAGTATAAAATAATTGACAAGATAAGCAACACGAACGATGCAAGCAAACGATCGAATTTACGGCTTTAACATTTGTAACATCTTTTTTGTATTTTATGTGGGATGCAGAACATTTCAATTGTCTTTGGCTACCACAATCACATTTTACTAATTTGAAAAATTTTCTCGTATAATAGAACGCTCCTTTGGAGATCACTTATAAATAAAATTAAAGAGAGCAATTGAGCAAATCATTTCCATGCTTTCACATAAAAATTTCAAATCAATTTTATATCTAGACATCTAACTGTCTATTTATTGGTCTATTTGTTTAACTATATTTGCATTATGTTAAATGTAGAATACGTTGGTATTCACAAGAAATCAGTAGACCACAATTGAAAATATGAATACCCCCCTCTCCCATCCACTAAACATTCTAGTCTCGATCCTCTATACAGTGGTACGTGCCACAATATCCGAGAAAACATGATACTGGCATTGAGTTCTGTCAGCGACATCTCATCAGCAGCGTTATTAAACACCTTATTTCCTACCCAATTTACGTCCTAGTGTTGCCCCTCTATACAATGGTCAATGATACAATATCTGAGAAAACATGATACAGTCACTAAGTTCTGTAAGCAATATTTCATCAGTAGCGTTAAAGATTATCTTCTCCTCCACACCACTAAAAGTTATAGTTTCGGCCCTCTATAAAGTAATCCGTGCTACAGTATCTGAGAAAACATGTCACAGCCATTAATTCTGCAAGTGATATTTTAGCAGCTGCGTCATTTAACACCCCTTCCCAACCCCAATATAAATTATAGTTTAGGCCCACTAAACAGTGGTCCGTGCTACAATATCTGAGAAAACATGATACATCTATTGAGTTCCGTAAGCGATATTTCATCAGCAGCGTGATTAAACACCCCCATCCCCAACCCCACTAAATGGTATAGTTTTGGCCCTCTATTCAGTGGTCAGTGCTACAATATCTAAGAAAATATAATACAGCCATTAAATTCTGCAAGCGATATTTCATTAGCAGTGTTATTAAACACCCTCCCCAACCCACCAAAAGTTATAGTTTCGGCCCTCTATACAGCGGCCAGTGCTACAATAATTAAGAAAACATGATACAGCCATTGAATTCTGTAAGCGATATTTAAGCGGTAGTGTTACTCTTGCTCAATCGGGTGGCTTAAGTCGTAAATGGCTTGAACTGATTGCTGTGCATTTTTTAATGGAGGTCATCAAGCCAGTTGACAATCATCAATTAAGACACAGTTTGAATCATAAATGAGATTTTTGGACTCACTTGCTCTTCTAATATAGTCCAAATAATTACATTTATTTATTTTGAGATCAGTGGGTGTAGTTTATTGAAATCAATGAAGAAAGTCATTGTTTTTATGTTTTGCGATTAGTAACGTTATTTGCGTATCTATTTTGGGAAATTTTCTAGTAGAAAAAACTTATACAGCAACTTTTATGCTCTATGTAAGTTTCAAAATGCAATTCTAAGTAAAAGTATTGAAAATTTAATTCTAAGCTAGAAATGATCTTTGTGGACTTTTGAATGATGTTCACACTGAAGAGGTAATCTCCAGTATTAGTCCAGTAGATTTATGGTTGAACCTTGAACTAATTCCCACAAAAGCTCACTCTTCAAAAATATCTTTCCTTTCATGTACAGAACAACATATTAAAAGTCCCACATGATCTGAGGCCGGCAACTTCGTAAAATAATGTTTTCTGTGAAATTATGACATGAAAACGAGGCTATAAACAAGAATTACAAAATAACACTGCTTTGACCTAACGAATATCATATTTGATTATATAAATCTGCAGCGTGGCTATTAAAAATCATGTTAAGTCTTCAACGACCGAAAAAAAGGAATCCTTTAGGTTACATAGTAATACAAGAGTGTCACTAAATTTACATATGGTTGATATAGTGTACTTTGATTTACAAAGACATTTCTGTCATTTCATACTTTTGTTAATCATCTTCAACATCAACACCACTGTTAGTGCAACCAGTACCTCTACATTGACCACATGCCATTGTGCAGTGAAGTCCATTTTTACGACAGGTACATCTTGCAGTTGAACAATTTGTGGTACAGTTGCATCGTATCATATTAAGCAAGTTTTCAGGAGCTGCTGGAAGATCAGTTGTTCTAGGTACGATAACATAACCACACATTTTCCAACCAAATGCATCAATCAACAATCCTTCGTCTTGACTCTGCCATTGCTTAACTTGAAGAAAGACTCTCAATGAATGATACTTGGCTGCACTAGATGTTGGGGGGAAGACTTTGGGGCTCTACCATTCGGCCTTTAGTGCACACCTTCTCGTAGTACTTCCTGTGGCGCAAACTGTCTAGAGTCTCGCCTTTTTTTCCTCCATACATGCAGACCAAGGCATTTTCACCTCTCTGGATAACCGTATTCATGCTGACGTTTGAAACTTCAAATGCTGATGCTTGTTCACGGAAATAGTTTGAATCTGTGAATTTCTTAAGAGGTGCCGATTTTCCAAGGCCAAAGGGCCGGGATGTCGTGTCACAACCAGCAATAGCATGAAGAAACAAAATGTTTTTACACAGAGATTCACCCAGCTCTGATCTCACTATTCTCATGTTCCATACTCTTTCCGTTCTACGTTTAGTTGTTTTCTTTGGTTCTGGACGAAAATAAAGACCACATCCCTCATCCACTTTGACGTAATAGCACATTAAAACAAGAAGATCTGTATCATCTCCAACAAGAACGGTAGGAGATTTCATGGCACTTGAAACAGCTGACTTTACTATGAGAAGATCAGCGTCGCCATCGGCTTGGAGTGTAGTACAGCCATTCAAATCCAGATAATTTCGAAGAGTAGTTATAAGTCGTTTCTTATTGTGTATATTAGCCAGGAATACATCTCTTTTCATTGTTATCTTCATGTCAGCTTCGAATGACACTGTTGCCCTAACCTTTCCGGATGATCTTCGTTGTTGCGCCATGTTCTTAGTAGATGGGTTATCATAACCGTCAAAACAATACAACTTCCTGCCCCATATTTCTGTTTTACATAGTGGCAGTACTTCTGGCACAATTCTTGAAAGGTTGCTTTCTTTGGCCATGGTACGCGATGAAGAAGAGCTCCTCCATCAATGACGAATTTGGTTTCGCCGACCGGGCCGGCCTTAGCATCAGGTGACAGCATTTCCCACAATGTGTCTGCAAGATTAGACTTCTGAGGCTGTCGCAACGTTAGCGGGGAATCGAACAATCATTCAAGATAGTGTCTTGAATGTACATAGTCCTAACAGTGCAAACAACACGCCCCCTTTTGCGCTCTTGTTCTTGATTAATTTCATTTCCGCAAAACAAGCAATCTCTTCTGAAATCGAACTGAACTGAACTTTGTGAGCGAAGGGTTCTTGGTACGGGATGACGCTCTTCCTTCTGACGTAGCGATTTAGAAATATATGATGGATTTGTGTATCGTTTCCTACATGCTATGTGAACGCTGTCACCTTCACGGACGTCAACTGTATCGCCTCTTTCTTTACTAGCTCGGTTTATACCATCTATCCCTTTAGATGTTAGAGCCACCCCGTTGTTCACAATTGATTCTTTACATATTGCACAGTACTGACGCAGAATTTGATCCATCCTATAATGATTCACAAGCAAAATAGTGTTCGACAGCACAAAAAAGCCTGGTTTTATTTACTGGTTTATGCGATATTTTACAGCCCTAATGTATCTATGGCTTTGAACGCGGTATTATAATGCAAACATTGTATTTGGTAATTAGGTCGCTAATTATAGCCCCCTCTTGTTAGTTTTAACTTAAATGATTGTGACCTACAATATTGACGTATTCATTCATTGTAAAATGTAATAGCAATTAAATAATACATTCAATAACTCATTGTCTTCAAGTTATCTATTTTGCTTACCTTGAGGAGAACAAAGAAACGTCACATTTTGATGCCAATAATGAGCCAAAGCTTCAATTTGAAGTATTGAAAGGGAAGTCACATTAAATATAATAAATATCCATCTAAACACGTGCAAAATATACGTAAACAAACGTACTTCAAACACGCGTTTGTCTAAAAAACTACCAAGTCAGCGAAAATTAGTACCCAAAACAGCAAGATCAGCATTTTTTACGTAAATAAAGGACAAAATATTAATTAATTTACAAAATATCATTATCCACTTGTTTTTAATCTATAATATTTATATTTGTGCTTTACTAAGTGTTCTAAAAGGATAAAATCTAAAACATTAATTTTTGAGCCTCGTTTCCATGTCGCTCAGATTTTCAATCCAAATGCCTCAAATAAAACCTAATTTACACGATGTTGCCGTGCTAGGATTTTGTGGGACTTTCGATATGTTGTAAAGGGATATCAAATATACCAAAATCAGTTGGAATTTCTTTTGTGGAAATTTGTTCAAGCTTAGAGTGTTTTTGGTCGTAGATTGACTGGACTATATACTTAGCAAGGAAAGAGCTCAAAAAAACTTGTAATTTTCTGTAAATTTAGAATTTAGAAAATCGTTTAAGAAATGTGCAATTTAATGCTACATTTCTCATAATGAAAATTGCAAATAACCTTCTTTTATTGTCGAACCTTGAGAATTCACATCGTCAAGGTGGCTTATTTTCCATATGATTTCGAGGTATTTTACTTACAATGAAAAAGAATTCTTATTTATTGAAGTATATTGAGTAAGGCGATTTGATGGTGGCCTTTCCTTGCATAATTTTCAATGTCATTAACTAGGTAATGTATGCATGGTGGTGCAAACGTGAAGTATGACAGTATATCCAAAGGATAGTTTGTTGAGAAGTTTTTATGATTAAACAAGCAGAATACAAATAAACGTTACTTTAAAAAAATAGATTGCATGATGTCATTATCACCTCATGTCTCATCTTAATTTCAACTTACTGATAATGTGCTTCAAGTACAAATTGTAAAGTGACAAGATTTTACTGTCATGGTTAAAACAGATGAAACCAGCTGCAAATGTTACCATTTAGTGTTGCTTAGACATGTGACGAAAAAAACTCATATATTTCATAACATTTGTTAATGTAAAAGGTTGATTGAAGACTGTATTTGAAGAAAATTACTTAGTGATGTTTTTTCAATTGTTTCAATACTTTCGATGCTGTTAGCTAGGAGCAAAAAAACATAATTTCCATCTGGAAAAAATTTATACTCCGACTAATCTCCTGTACTCCAATAAAGAAAATAGTTATTAATGTAATCAAACACGAGCACTTTAAAACAGATGGTCTAACCTGAACACTTCTAAATGCAGGGTATGATATGTATGGTGTACATTAATTTCAAGATTTGTTTTAAAAGGTTTTAGTCTATTTTTTTATAATCCTTTTTATTTAATGGAACTTATGAAATTTATTCAATTTGAGCACTTTATAAAAAGAGTTGCGCCACTTTGCTGCTACGCAGTATTCATTGAGATAAACAAAGACTTGTCAAGTTGTGCTGAGCACTGCCGTCAGGTACACTGTACATTTAAATTATTTGTCGTTCGCAAAAGAAAATTTAAGTCATTGATACAGTATTGAACATACGTAATAAACAAACGTTTGGAGTCCGAAAGTGCAACACTGTATACGTACATCATGCATATTATTAAATAATATAATTCTTTATAAAAACACAAAAATACCAATCAAATGACTTGAATTGTGATACAATACAAGACAAATATGCTTAGGTTATGCAACATATATAAAATAAAATAAAATTGAAAGGCATACCTTGTTCTGTATTTTCAACACCAGGAGAATTTCCGACATCTTTAGCATTATCAACTTTAGCATTATTACCACTTGTGATTTCTACGAACAACATTTAAAAAAGCGTTATCCACACAAGCTGTGTATTTCTATTTTGAGAACAAGTAAAAAAATAAATTTAAACCTAGCGCTCGAAAAGAAATAACACAAATAAATAGGAAAGTCGTTTTGGATAGTAGCTTTTTAAAGCTATATATTTCATTTCGTTTTGCCCATTAGCTCCAAAATCTCATATACATATATTACGCACTGTTTTACGTGACTGACATTTTCAAGTAAGAAATGACCTTACAATTGGAAAGATTGAGGGGGCAGTATATATTTTCACGTAATTGACCAGCTTTCACCAGGCGTAATTTTACAAATAAATGTAGATAAACAAACTGCCAAAGAGTATTTTCGTGAAACGCAAGACAATAGACACTCTGTATATAGTAAATATTATTTATCTAGATCCCATCTATTAGCGGGATGGCTTGTTAGAATAGACAAATTCTGTCTGTGGATAACTCGCGAAAGTTAAAGAGATTTCGACAACAAAAGCCAGAATATTACTTCACAAACGAGTAATGGTAGCTTGGCTGACTGATTTTGTGAAAATAATGGACCAAGTGATGAAGATTTCTATTTATTTACTGACAGTTTGAACCATAACTGTTCTGGCTAGAGTACTATCAGACTCAAATTTAGTTGTAAGTATCCGTTGAGCTTTTAATTTAATTATTTCCTAGCAAACTTGATAGCTGTTATGCCTATATAGGCATTCATTTCAAATACGAAAAGAAGTAAAAGCAAGAGTAATTTTAATTTATATTTAACGATATTGCACTGGGTCAGTCCTTTTTCTGGCACAATTATAGAAATCCTGCAACCTAAACTGCCTTGTTGGTGGAACAAGTATGTAGCACGTTATCTGATAACTGCAGCCGAGTATTTAAAGAATATAGGGTTATTGCTATAGACAGAAGACTGTTATACCTGAAATGCTTTCTTGAAATAATTTGTAAAAGGCTGTATAGACAGGTATTGTTGTCTATTGTCTTAATTAGGATATTCCCCTACCTTTATAAGTGCCTGCTTAAAAGTTTATATAGTTATTAATATCATTATATAATTAAATTTTAGAATGGAATACTAAATGTTAATTTCCTTTGTGTAATCTGGAATAGAAACAGGGGCTCTATTGATATTGACGACTGGAGTTAGGCATTCATTGCAACTTTTCACCTTCCAAGGCCGCAACAATGTTTATCAAATGTTGATATGGAATGCTAGCACAAATTATTTATTTTTAATTTTTATTCTCTCATTTCTTGATTTAGGTACAGGTTCTAATTGATTTGGGAGCAACGTGAGAAATGTTATGATAAACAATTTGGTAAAGGAAAAGTAGAAAACATCCCAACAATGAACAAATTTGGAGAAGTTAAATTACATATTGACATAATAAAGAGTAGTTTGAACTATCCATATGTATTTTTAACTTAATTGAATTTATTTATATTATGGCTGTTAAATAATTACAGCATTCAAAATTTTCAATAATTTTTGAATTTTTGATTATCATCTTTATATCTGTATTAAACAGAATTTTAGTTTGTTAATAATGTTTTACATGATGTATTGTATTAAGATTACCAAAAAATGAATGGCCAAAAAGTGCATGATTACACTAAATTACTCATTCTAATATAAAATATCAGTATCAATGTTCTATTGAATCTGTTGTAGGACATTACATAAATCTTCTTTGAAAAATTGTGTAGCACATTTTTAGTATCCCGTACAAATTTCATTAAATATGCTATAGGGTATTATATGATATGTTATAGAAGATTCCCCAATTTTTTTTTAATTAAGTAGAGGGTAAAATTTGCCCATTTTGGTGGGTACCGGAGTGGCCTATTAGTTTGAAAATAATAAAATATACAGTATGTACATAACATACATAAAATGATCAAAGTTAATTCGTATTCACTTAAAATTTACAACTTGTGTATGAAACATGTAGGAACAAAACTTGTAAATAATGCACAAAACAGATTGGCGGTATCAGTGTGTGAATTAGTTGAGAAAAAACGATGTGCAATTTTTTTCGAGAAAAGTGTTTCTTTAGAGGCATAATCAAATCGATATTACGTTAAATATTTTACAGCGCTAATTGCTAAATTAATATTTTTAAACGTACACAAAGTCATATGATTTATGACAGTGTTTTTTGTTACAACCGCTGATCCAGTTGCAAATGTTTGTGAGAAATTTTTTGCGCGTGTTACTCTCTCCTCTTTTTTTGTGCAAATTTACAGCGCAATAAATTCATCACTTGGCCATCATCCTAGTAATCAAACGAGTCAGCATTTGATTTTTTCATCCATTTTTTACTGGAGTAACTTTGCTAGTAGCTTTAACCTTTCGACGAAGACAGCAAGAAAGACAAAAGTGAAAAGAGAACAACCGAATATACTTTTGCCTTCTGATTATTAACAGTAACATCCTTGATGTTTTCTTACGTAAAAAACATCATATTACGTCTCATTACAAACAATATGTAAAAGCAAAATGTATGGCTCATAAAGGATGCCAGTTTGGCTTCTTGTTCTCACGTTAGGCTTATTGAAAATCAAAATTCCCTTTGGTCTTCTTTTCAAATTTGGCTTATTTAAGTTTTTTTGTCTTCTTTTAAGAATCAAAATAAAAATGTTTCCTGATTTTACTGAAAATACTCAAAATAGCTATGATGCCAAAAATTGTACGTAACGTGTAATAAAAATTAATGCCTAACATAAAGTTTTAATTAGAGCCATAGAAATAGACCAACAAATTGTAAAATTGAATTCATTGTAACGTTTCGTCTTTACACAAGACATCTTCAGACAATTAATAAATAGGATGTTAAAGGACACATGCAAGCTAGAAGACAACTTTATTTTATTGTAATGCTTATAGCGTGAAAATAAGACGTACCAAGTTTCAAAGTCGTCCGCAAAATATTTCAAAAGATATTTAGGGTTATAATCGTCGGTAAAAACACGATATTCGATGACCGTTGCTAAAACGCCGTGAGATCGTTAAGTTTGGGAACTGGGAAAGAGTGACGTATTAGTTGACATAAACAAGCATCGTTCTTATATCGTTCTATGACTTGCACGCAGTGCTTGCACGGCTTTCGGTAGTTTGCTATTACTGTTTATAATTTATCAAAAATTAATGGATTCTTCTGAAGAAGAAGCCGATTATGATATTGTCATCAATAACAATGAGGTACAACCTTACATGTTTGAGCTTTTGGCCAACGTGCAAGGTGGTCAAAATGATGACAATTCTTCGTCATCGGAAAGCGAAGATGAATACATTCACAGAATTGGAAATGTTGAATGGTTAGTTGCATTTTATTCATTAAAGCGAGATTTATGTTGCTTAATAGCTTCAGCTTTGCTGATTTTTGATTTGTGGCGAGTCAATGGGACAGGTATTTCTTTCACTCCAGCGACATCAAGAGATTTGGACAGTGTTGGATTAATGCGTCTGCAGTACAAAACTTCTTTCATCAAGTCCTTAACATATCCTGAAAAGCAAATCGTTATTTATGTTGGCTTGCATTGCACTTTGAGAAAAGGTAAGTTTATTTTTCTGTGCTAACCATAAGTGCTGTCAACTTTCATAAGTGTTTAACATAATTATGTGAGTATTCTAATCATGTTTTATGTGCAGTTGTTGAAGAATTGTTACCTGAACAAGTTGTGTGTTTAAAATGCTGTTAGATTCCAAATCCATGCAGCTATATGACCCAGAATTGGCACAATGTCCAGGCGAATCACATATTCCATCTCCTCCAAGGTTAATGTTCCTTTCTCTGATTGACTCTAGAAGATGCTTTTGGTGCATATGCGAAACACTTGAAACACTGGGTATCAAATACGCTGTTTGAATATAGCTGTATGTGCGCTCTGACAGAAATTGTATGCCTGAGTGACGAAGGAATTGAAGAAATTTGCTGGGGCTACTACCACTAAACAAAATGCTGGCAGCAAAGACCAAGTTACCTAAAGGCATTCGCCCAAGCAGAGGTTTGCTATTCCAGTCTCGAACATAACCACAATGACATTTTACTAGTACGTTAAACATTGTGACGAAAACGATTGGTAAGAATTACAATCAGAATCAGAGAGATGAACATAACCACAATAACATAAGAATTACCATCAGAATCAGAGAGATGAACGTAACGTTCTGAGAAACACATAACAGAGAAAAGCAATGTAAGGAATAGTCAGGTGACTGGATAGTTGGTACTAAAGTCGCATTGTCATTGTCGGATTCTTCATTTTCGCTTAACTCATTTGAACATTGAGAGTCTGATCCATTGTAGCTATTGCTCATCGTCGACGTGCTTTCTGTATCAGACCATACAGCGCTATCCTCAAAATGTTCAGTTTCACATGACGTCGTCTGTATGTTGTGATTTTTGTTGAAATGAAGTCAACCTCTGTACCTTAGATAAAATTATCGTATTGCTGGATTTTTCACAAAAATCAAAGCGGCCGAAATGGAAAGTCTATACATCTACTTATCATATTTGGCACTTCTGTTTACGTGGTTCTTGACCTTACGTGTTTTTGCGGACGGATTGTTATGGCTGTTTGGCATTTCACATTGCGCTTCTAAGGTACGTTAAGGAATTTTCTATGAGTTAAAATAACACAGAAAAGATCAAACGACATGAGTCTGAATTAGTTACTACTGTATATGTTTGTGTTTCGCTGTCTACATATATTTTGACATCTCTTATTTTAGACAAACTTCCTTTGAGGTAAAACGCACAAACTTTTTGAGCCGATGTCGACACATAGTGGTCGTCGTCTACAAGAAAGTCGTCATGTTCTGCAAGAACATCGTTAATAATCTAATTATCTTCAATTTGGTAAAGCTATATAGCTTAGTTTTTGATAAATGTAAACAAATATTGCTAACTATAACTATAATATTCACCTCTTGCCTTCGTCTATTCTCAAATGCAGTTCTAACATTTGTTAGCTGCTTCCTTTTAGATGCTACACTTGTGGGTTCCACAGAGTATTCAAAAATCGTGGGTACAGCATCCTTCTTAAGGCGAAGCCGTCCTGCTGTCCATCCTACTGATTGCATCGCTTCAAAATTTTGCACGAACACGAACTATCGAAATGTTGCGAGCACAATTTTGAGCTCTTTGTTGGCTTCCAATTTTTGCGTCGGATTTTTTCAATCCAAATATCTCGCATGCGCTTGTTTTCGGGAAACGAAAAAAAAGAAACCTTTTGCTGCGTTTGGTGATTCTTAGAAGAACCGTTTTTACAAATAAATGCGGCACAATAAACCATATTTTCAATGCTAAATTGTCGTGTTGTTAAGAAGTTACCAATATATTTTGAACGAAGCGCGCAATTGACAGCGTTTAGCTAATGTCAACTATTACGTCACAATGACCTTTTTCCAATCGGTAGCCGTCGTTAGCTCGTCGGGCATTTTCAATACGTTTCAGTAAAGCAGCAACTTTAAACCTATATATCTTCAAAAATATTTATCCTTTGAATCTCAAACTTTAGTGAACTATTAGTTGGAGCTATACCTTTATGTAAAGTACAAAAATAACAATCCGAATTTTATGTTGCATGTGTCTTTTAAGACAAGATATTATATTGACAAAAAGGTGTTAAATTACTACTAAAGGAGGCGATGTCAAATAGATTATATGATAAGGAAGTCAGGAAGTAAAATAAAGAGAAATTAAAAGAGGTTAAGTGGAATGGAGTTTCCTTATATTTATTGATTAGAAGGCTCTCATGAATGGAGAGTTCATAAGAATCGTTAGAAGAGGAGATTATTTTAAAGTCGTTTAAGTTTGGGGTGTGAACAGTTGCGTTAATGTGAGCAAAAATGCTTGATAACGCAGGTTGGGAAACTTGGTTGCCTGTAAGGGGGGATATTCCCAAGTGCTCCAAAAATCTGGTGTGTAGATGACGTGTGGTTAACATACATTTTAATGTCTTGCAGCGCACTCGTTTATAAAGTAAAGATCTGTAAAGATTAAGCTAGAAAACTTTTTTCAATTTATGTGGTGGTAATGACTAAAGGAGTTTTTTGCATATCGTTTGAAAAAGTGATGTGCAATTGTTTTCATTTTAGCTAAAACGATGTGCAAGTTGCACATTGCACACCATTAATTCGCACACTGGGTAGTATATTTTGTAAGTCATTAACTAACAACTAACTCTTGTATAAACTACAAATGTTCCTGAATTTTTGTTCTTTAAAGCCTGTTTCAACGTCCCCTTTAAATGACCTGAATGCATTGTAAACAAAAGAAAATTAGACAAAAATGCTCATCATCTTTTGTTCTCAATGCATTTAGGTCATGTAAAGTGTGACATTTGAAACACTTGTAAAGGAAAATTGTAGTTTTTAGAAGAGATAGTTTTTATTTGATGATTTACAAAATATACCTCCATTACATTTTGTTCTTTATTTACAAGATTTGTTCATACATGTTTCATGTACAAGTTGTACATTTTAAGTGCATGCGTAAATTTGAGCATTTTATGTGTTTGACGTACATACTGTATGTTTTACGATTTTCAACCCAATAGGTCACCCAATTACACACAAAAGGGTTGATTTTTGCCCTTCTATTTACTCTTAGTGAAATTTACTCAAAATATTGGGTGATTCTGTGGAACATTAGTTTACCCTAATTTTAGTGGTAATTTTTACACCCAGTAAAATTTTACCTCAGTAGAAATATGGGGCAATTTTTAACCTATATTAGAATTTACTCCTTTGTTTACCCCTTACTAGTGGGGTAATTTTTGCTCCCTGAAATTTACTCTGTGCGTCAATGTAGTTTCAATAATTTATTAATAGCAAAATAGCAGTTAAAAATTTCATACAGACCACGATTTGATATTATGTAGACACATGTTTTGTCAAGCTTTTGCTATCTTTATTGATCAAATCATTTATTTATGCTTTATCTCAAGCAAGTTGATAAAACTTCATCTCAGCAAACAAATACATTATAGGTCTAATTTTAACTTGTAATAAAGTTTCTACTTTCACTCCTGTAATTTAAAAACAAAACGAAACTTACCTTAAGTTGAAGTTTGATTTGAATTCTACAAGTCATCAGCGTGGAGTGGAAGAGTTGTACGAGAGAGAGTATACGCATGCGCAAATAAAACATGGTTGTGTAATTTAGATTTATTATGGTTAGAAAATAACTCTACGTAAAACCATTGTAAAATTAGCCTTTCGCGTATATAATTTAGGTGTAGTTTCTTTGACGTAAAGGATGAACTTATAGTTTTCTAATTATTTATACATAATTTGCCTTTTTTAAGTCACATTTGGGACAAAATTGCCAGTGCTATGAAAAACAAACACCCTCATATTGATCACCAATATGATGTGTGGCATTTGTCTAAATCTGTCACAAAAAAACTAACAAAGAAGGCTAACACTAAGGGAAATGAGGATTTCACCCATTGGATTAAGTCCATTTCTAATCATCTTTGTGGTGCTCTGCAATTTGTAACAAGAATGCAGAAGAATTGATGAAAAAGTCTATCCTTAACCAACAACAAGCATTTCTGGAGAGGGAACACATATTTTCATCAATGTTGCTACCAACAATTAACAGAAAGACAAACAAGCAGAAGAAGTGGTTATCTCCTACTTCACAAGCATATATTGCTGCAGAGAAGGTGATTTGTGACAAGAGGCTTCTAAATGACCTGCGGAAGCTATCTGAGTTTTGTCACACAGGAGAGTTGGAGGTTTACCATTCCCTTTTACTGAAATACTGCCCAAAGCGAGAGCATTTTTTATTTCCTGGAATGGTAGCCCGCACTCAGTTAGCAGCATTAGATCACAACAACAATATAAACCGTGATAAAGCAGTCATTAAGTCAGAGACAAACAAAGGGCAAGACCGTTGCACAACGATTTTTGCTAAAACAAAGAAGCAATGGGTTGTAAAAGCAATGAAAGAAGAGAAAGAATACCATTACGTTGATATACTACTTGCCGAGGTTGTGAATGCATGCAAAACTGAGAAGATTGAACTTGTACATCATGGCGAGAATCTTCCAAAGAACATTTCTATATCGTGTCCACCCAGGAAAGAAGTACTTGTAAAGGAACATCAGTCTAGATTTGCATAAATGTCAGTGGTGAAGTTAGCTATGGCAATAGGTTTTGCCATGCCCATAAAATATGATGTGGCATCAGTGAAGACAACTTTTGTACATTCATTCTTAAATATTAACATAGCAAAACCAGCATAGTGGAAGCCTTCAAATTGAAATTCCTCTGCAGGGCCAGGTGGAGGAAATGTTTTTCTAATGCGAGTAACTCCACATGATGGCAAGACGACTCTTACTTCTCTACCCAAGATACCCCAGCACCATCTTGTCAACTGTCTATATGCAATATGGCGGTACAGTTTGTCTTCGGGCCCATCATATGCTACCTCATATTGCTGCTTGTACAGGTAACAAGCTGTTTGTAAAACCCACCTGTTAAGACAAACAGGCTCAAAACCAGGATGTTGTGTAATGCACAAAGGGACTTCAGTGGTCTCGTTTGTTTCTACTGCCTCTAAATTTTTGTCACAAATATTGCAAAACTTTTACAGCATAATCATTCCTCGTTATTGTCCATTATTTGGAAGTTACCACATTGACACCTGAATATGTGAAAAGAAAGGATCTTGAAAAGTAAATGTCTATATTTCAAAAAAGATTGTATCTTACAATAAAAACTTTAAAATCTGATGTATTATGTGTGTGTGGACGTGGTCAACATCAAAAACTGAAAACGTTCTTTCGAGATTGGAACAGTGGTCTAGAATAATATACATTTTATTACTCACCATTCAAGATTGTCGCGCAGAGGTTCATCCTCAATATACAAAAATTCCTGTTCTTCGTTGTCCTCAAACTGGTGAGCTTCTTCGTGTTCATCGGCCAGCCAATCGGGCTCAAACTGATATGGCCGAATATTGTTTGCTGGATTGTCTTCCATTTCACTCTCGATTGGTGAATTAGGACGTGGTTCTTCCAAAGAAGCCATTACAAGCGATTGTTTTGTTTTTTGTGCTAGGCTGTGCGTTATCATTTTACTTTGTTGTAAACTGCAAATCGGTTTGACGATATGACGTCAAAATAATTTCCGCTGACGCTTTCTGTGCCCACGCTGCTAAACCTCAAAACAGGTCAAATAGCGCACTCGAAGACGCGATTTTGTCAAAAATAAAATAGCTGATGTAAAAATTTCAAAATATAGTAACCTGTGCAGAAAAATGGAACTTTTAAGACCAAAATTATGTGAGGGTGGAGTTCCCCTTCAACCAATACTTGTATTGATAGTTATCGTTTTGATACTTTTGCCAAATTTGCAGAATAAAACGCGTTTTTCAACACAAAATTTAACAATATTAATGCTCCATGCTGGCATTTGTTTATTGTAATATAATAAACTAGCAAGGTAGGAACATCTTATGACGTCACGATCCATTTGTAAAACTTTGCATCCAGGGGCGAAATTTAGCGTTAAATTTAAACAACTTATACCAAACCAAAACTGCTCAATCTCACACGAAATTGTTTCTAAGAATGTATATTTTTTATTTGGCGAAAAAACTATGGGGTGAAATTTAGTCGGAGTTGCACTTTAACAAATTATCATTATCGCAAATGACCAACCAACATTTTGTTGTATATAATACCTACAAACTTACCAAAATATTTTGATGACAGAGAAACATGAGCATGATTTGGAACTGGAAATTTACTCTGAGTTTTTTGAGACTCATATTCTTCAGTTTCTTCGTACATCCTACGAAACTTGCTCAAAGACGCAGTGGGATGAGTATGGTCTTCACCTGGCACATTCAGTTTTCGAATTTCCAGAGCTTTTTCGTGAACCTCTTTAGCTTCGTCGTACTTACCAGTTTTTTCAAAGACCAACCCAAGATTGTGTAAAGATGCAGCGACATCAACATGATTTGGACCTAACGATCGTTTTCGAATTTCTAGAGCTTTCTCGTAAAACTCTATAGCTTTGTCGTAGTATCCAGTATCATAATACACCAAACCAAGATTGTTTAGAGACGCAGCTACATCAACATGATTTGGACTTAACGATTGTTTACAAATGTCTAGAGCTTTTTCGTAAAACTCTATCGCTTTGTTGTACTTTCCAATATCATAATACACCATACCAAGATTGTGTAAAGACGCAGCGACATCAACATGATTTGGACCTAATGATTGTTCTCGAATTTCCAGGGCATTTTCGTAAACCTCTTTAGCTTCGTCGTACTTTCCAGTTTTTTCAAAAACCAAACCAAGATTGTGTAAAGAGGCAGCGACTTTAACATGACTTGGACCTAAAGATTGTTTTCGAATTTCTAGAGCTTTTTCGTAAAACTCTATAGCTTTGTCGTAGTTTCCAGTATCATAACACACCATACCAAGATTGTTTAAAGATGTAGCGACGTCTACATGATTTGGACTTAACCATTGTTTTTGATTTTCCAGAGCTTTTTCGTGAACCTCTTTAGCTTTGTCGTAGTTTCCAGTTTTAGTAAACACCAAACCAAGATTGTTTAAAGACGCAGCGACATCAACATGATTTGGACCTAACGATCGTTTTCGAATTTCTAGAGATTTTTCGTGAAACTCTATAGCTTTGTCGTAGTTTCTAGTTTCATAATACATCAAACCCAAATTGTTTAAAGATGTAGCGACGTCAACATGATTTGGACCTAACGATTGTTCGCGAATTTCCAGGGCTTTTTCGTAAAACTCTATAGCTTTGGCGTAGTTTCCAGTTTTATCAAACACCAAACCAAGATTGTGTAAAGAGGCAGCGACTTTAACATGATTTGGACCTAACGATCGTTTTTGATTTTCTAGAGCCTTTTCGTAAAACTCTATAGCTTTGTTGTAATTTTCAATATTATAATACACCATACCAAGATTGTGTAAAGACGCAGCGACATCAACATGATTTGGACCTAACGATTGTTTACGAATTTCTAGAGCTTTTTCGTAAAACTCTATCGCTTTGTCGTAGTTTCCAGTATCATAATACACCATACCAAGATTTTTTAAAGATGTAGCGACATCAACATGATTTGGACCTAACGATTGTTCGTGAATTTCCAGAGATTTTTCGTAAAACTCTATAGCTTTGTCGTAGTTTCCAGTTTCATAATAGACCATACCAATATTATTTAAAGATGTAGCAACGTCAACATGATTTGGACCTAACGATTGTTCGCGAATTTCCATAGCTTTTTCGTGAACCTCTATAGCTTTATCGTAGTTTTCAGTTTCATAATAGACCAAACCAAGATTGTTTAAAGATGTAGCAACGTCAACATGATTTGGACTTAACGATTGTTTACAAATTTCCAGAGCTTTTTCGTAAAACTCTATAGCTTTGTCGTAGTTTCCAGTTTTATTAAACACCAAACCAAGATTGTTTAAAGAATCAGCAACATCAACATGATTTGGACCCAACGATCGTTTTCGAGTTTCTAAAGCTTTTTCGTGAAAGTCTATAGCTTTGTCGTACTTTCCAGTATCATAATACACCAAACCAAGATTGTTTAAAGATGTAGCAACATCAACATGATTTGTACCTAACGATTGTTTACGAATTTCTAGAGCTTTTTCGTAAGACTCTATAACTTTGTCGTAGTTTCCAGTATCATAATACACAATACCAAGATTGTTTAAAGATGTAGCAACGTCAACATGATTTGGACCTAACGATTGTTTGCGAATTTCCAGAGCTTTTTCGTGAACCTCTATAGCTTTGTCGTAGTTTCCAGTTTTATTAAACACCAAACCAAGATTGTTTAAAGAATCAGCAACATCAACATGATTTGGACCCAACAATCGTTTTCGAGTTTCTAAAGCTTTTTCGTGAAACTCTATAGCATTGTCGTACTTTTCAGTATTATAATACACCATACCAAGATTGTGTAAAGACGCAGCGACATCAACATGATTTGGACTTAACGATTGTTTACGAATTTCCAGAGCTTTTTCGTAAAACTCTGTAGCTCTGTCGTAGTTTCCAGTATCATAATACACCATACCAAGATTGTTTAAAGATGTAGCAACGTCAACATGATTTGGACCTAACGATTGTTCGCGAATTTCCAGAGCTTTTTCGTGAACTTTTATAGCTTTGTCGTAGTTTCCAGTTTTATTAAACACCAAAGCAAGATTGTTTAAAGAATCAGCAACATCAACATGATTTGGACTCAACGATCGTTTTCGAGTTTCTAAAGCTTTTTCGTGAAACTCTATAGCTTTGTCGTACTTTTCAGTATTATAATACACCATACCAAGATTGTGTAAAGACGCAGCGACATCAACATGATTTGGACTTAACAATTGTTTACGAATTTCCAGAGCTTTTTCGTAAAACTCTATAGCTTTGTCGTAGTTTCCAGTATCATAATAAACCATACCAAGATTGTTTAAAGACGCCGCGACATCAACATGATTTGGACTTAATGATTGTTTACGAATTTCCAGAGCTTTTTCGTAAAACTCTATAGCTTTGTCGTAGTTTCCAGTATCATAATAAACCATACCAAGATTGTTTAAAGAATCAGCAACATCAACATGATTTGGACTCAACGATCGTTTTCGAGTTTCTAAAGCTTTTTCGTGAAACTCTATAGCTTTGTCGTACTTTTCAGTATTATAATACACCATACCAAGATTGTGTAAAGACGCAGCGACATCAACATGATTTGGACTTAACGATTGTTTACGAATTTTCAGAGCTTTTTCGTAAAACTCTATAGCTTTGTCGTAGTTTCGAGTTTCACAATAGACCAAACCAAGAATGTTTAAAGATATGGCGACATCAACATGATTTGGACCTAACGATTGTTCTCGAGTTTCCAAAGCTTTTTCGTAAAACTCTATGGCTTTGTCGTAATTTCCAGTTTTATCAAACACCAAACCAAGATTATGTAAAGAGGCAGCGACTCTAATATGATTTGGACCTAACGATCGTTTTGAATTTCCAGAGCTTTTCGTAAATCTCTATAGCTTTCTCGTAGTTTCCAGTATAATAATACACCATACCAAGATTGTTTAAAGACGCAGCGACATCAACATGATTTGGACCTAACGATTGTTTTCGAATTTCCAGAGCTTTTCGAAAAACTCTATGGATTTGTCGTAGTTTCCAGTTTCATAATGCACCAAACCAATATTGTTTAAAGAGTGAGCAACATCAACATGATTTGGACCTAACGATTGTTCTCGAATTTCAAGAGCTTTTTCGTGAACCTCTTTAGCTTCGTCGTACTTTCCAGTTTTTTCAAAGACCAAACCAAGATTGTGTAAAGACGCAGCGACTGATATATGATTTGAACCTAACGATCGTTTTCGAATTTCCAGAGCTTTTTCGTGAACATCTTTAGCTTTGTCGTACATTCCAGTTCTATCAAACACCAAACCAAGATTGTGTAAAGAGGCAGCGACTCTAACATGATTTGGACCTAACGATCGTTTTTGATTTTCTAAAGCTTTTTTGTAAAACTCTATTGCTTTGTCGTACTTTCCAGTATCATAATACGCAATACCAAGATTGTATAAAGAAGGAGCGACATCAACATGATAGAAGCCCAACGATCGTTTTTGAATTTCCAGAGCTTCTTCGTAAAACTCTATGGCTTTATCGTAGTTTCCAGTTTCATAATACACCAAACCAATGTTGTTTAAAGAGGCAGCGACATCAACATGATTTGGACCTAACGATTGTTTTCGAATTTCTAGAGCTTTTTTGTGAAACTCTATAGCTTTTTCGTACTTCCCAGTTTTTTCAAGCACAATACCAAGATTGTTTAAAGACCGAGCAACATCAACATGATTTGGACCTAACGATTGCTTTTGAATTTCCAGAGCCTTTTCATGATGATTTTTAGCTTTGCTATACTTCCCGGTGTCATGGTATAAAACACCGTAGATACTAAAATACCAAGCTTTGTCAAAACTAGATTCTTCTGATTTAAATTTATCCAATACTTCAAGAGCAAGATCGTATTTTCCAAAATGTCTTAATCTGTCAACAAAATATTGGAAAACTTGTAAAGTATTCAGGTCGATTTTTGTCTTGTTGATCCTTAGCAATTGAAAAATTTTTTCAAGATGTGGCATCAATTTGCTTTCGTCGTCTCTCTCTTTAAACATGTAAAGTGCTTGTGATATTTGATCAACGTTACTTTCTATTTCATGTTCTTCATTTGAATGTTCAGATTGATAAACAGTAATTGCTTTGTGAACAATGCGATGAAGACTAATGTCATTATTTTCTGAATGCAAGAACAATGAACAGTCCTTTAAGCAAAGACATATATCTTCCTTTGAGTGTTTGGGATCAAGTTGTTGAACATAAAAAATAATAATGTCTCGTGGTATAGGATCAAACGATATCACGGAAAAAAAGTTAATAACAGTTGCCAATATTGAGGATTCATCAGCATTTTGTCTGACAGCTAAAAGTGAAGCTTGTAACATACTTCTTGGATACTCCGAGTGAAATTTAACAAAAGTGGAGTCCGAGTTTGCTTCTTCTTCTGAAGATATTTTTTTTAAATATTGACTCCAAGGAAATGAGCAGTTTGCTTTGTTTACACGACTGACATAATAACCAGCAGCAGTCAAAGCCAGCGGTTGACGATCTAATGCATGTGATACTTCATTCAACATTTGATCATCAGCATATTCATTTTTAGTGTAATGCTTCAACAGTTGAAAACATTCCCTATCATTCATTCCACTTCTGATAGAAATATGTTTGTTGAACTCATCGTCTTGAGGTACGGCATCTGTGTTCTCGATGGTTACTATGATTTGTCCGTTTATCCACATGGGATCACCTACTTGGGGAAGTAACGAAGAAATTTTGCTGAGCTGTACCACGTTGTCTACAATGATCAACCAATTTTGCCAGAATTTTAATCGTGTGGATACCATCGATCGCAATGTCTTCACTTTGTCTGTGATGGAACAATTTTCATTTTCAAATTTTTTAATCATATACTTGTCACAGTGTAAACCGTATCCAAGTTCGGAGTAAGTTTTAAAAAGAGATTCCTCATTTTTTCCATCAAGAGTCATTACAAATGAAGTTTTATTGTTCCAATCACACGATATTTTTTCACAAACCTGTCTGGCAAATTGAGATTTACCACTGCCAGGATTACCAGTGATGTAGAAATATGTCAGTTTATCATTGTTGTCATTCCTTAATTTTTCAAGATCTTTTATAATTTGATCTCGTAATTCATTGCGTTCAACGAAAAAATGATTAGGTTTTGAAGGAAGAACTTGAAATGAATTAAAACAGTTTCGATGATTTTTTATTTCAATGATTTCATCGAGAGAAAATTTCAAATCTTGAAATGATTTTTCAATGATATTGACTATTTCATCAAAATCATCATCTGAGCATTCTCTTTCATACCAATGTGCGTATTTGTTTCTTTCACAACGAAGTGCATCAACATTATCCTTTGTTTTTTTATCAAGATGCTTTCCAATTGAATTTGAAAAAATTATTGCATCAAATAATATCGTACAGTCCCACTTACTGGTGTCTCCATCCTGATATTTTTGTCGTGTTTTTTGGTCTGTTTTTCTTCCTGATTCCAAATTGTACAATTTGTTACCACTGTTGTGTGTATCATCCCATTCTCCATCAGTTGATTTGTAACGTGAGTTCCATTGTTTAATGAAAAACTGAGCAAGTTCCTTTTGTACCACATTAATTATTTGCTGAATGTACGACAGATTTCTTATTCCTGACAAGTCCATCTCTACAAAATTTGGTATATATCAACAAGATAAAAATCAAGCAATTCAAAAAATTCTATGCAACCCTTATCAGTTTTCTTTAAAGTCCGAATTTACATGATGACGAAATCAAACTTATTTGTTAATTGATTTAACTTCACCAAAAACGTACTAAAATTACAAAAGAACCTGAAAACTAATAATGACTGAGAGCATGTATCCTACAGCTTTTACCAACTGCAGTATACTGTCAAACAACCTTTAGAAAAATTAAAAAACATGATGTTTTACCTTAAAGTTTACATTACAAAACAGACATAAGAATATATATTTAAATAATTTGCATAGTCATTTGTGAATATCATGCAACTGTAGCTAAGAATATGTTATAATGTTGTAGCTAATGGCCATATTTAAATTTACTAAGGTTTATTTTTCTTTTATTTAATAGAGTCTAACGCATTTATTCAAACTTAACTTTGTAAATATATTTGTTTTACAACATGTTGTAACACAAGATCTTGTTTTTCTTTGGCTATATACGATATTCGATTGGCAATGGTTAAATTTTTTATCAATTTTAAGACCATGAACCACTATAATATTAAGCAAAATCAAAAGTAAATAACTGACTATTTTGAATAAATTTTAATATAAAATGAGAATTTTTAATCTATGTTGATAAAATAACGCGTTTTAAGGGGATCACTTTTATCCCCTTTTATCAAGAAAAAAGAAGACAAATATTGACAGCATTGTCTTTTATTTGTTTTAAAAAGAGCTAGCATTCAGAGGACATAATAAATCAAGCTTTAGCTTGAATAAGGACAACTATAAAGAGTTTCCAAAGTCATATGGAAATTTATGTTTTGTCTTTATCTTGAAAGCCAGAAGTGACGTAAGAAACGGCTGATGCACAGTTTGTGTTTTCACTGATGTATTACGTGATGTCCAGAATTCTTTGATTGCCTAACTGCTTTGATGAAGTTATAAAAATATTCAATTTCAGATTGATGAGGAAATCAGAAAATTTCAGTTTTTTAATTATTTAATTTGACAAAACTTTGCATAAATAAACCTTAGCATCAACAAAAGACATTTGCAAAGCTACCAAGATTATCAAAAGCATGCATTTAATATCTGGAACTATAAGATTTAAAAAGAAATCTTTGATAGAGTATCTAACTTTGAGGTTTAAGCAATGAAGATATTTTTTCTCTCAGTGGTCTGTTGTTTTTTCTACCTCTAGGAGGCGTGATTACAATCTCAAGTTAACCTCAACTTTGAATTCAGTATATTACTTCTTAGTAAGTGAGTAGAAACCTCAGTGCATCTTCCTAATTACAAACACTGACTCCAGCTTTAAGCATGTATCGAATATTCACGATCCCTTCGCCTTTTTTATTCTGATATATCTGCAGACGGCGTCTTGTTCGTCACTCTTAGCAATTCAACTTTATTACTTTCATATATTCGTTGCGTTGGTTTTAAAAATTTCTTGATGTTTGTGTTGATTTTTGTTGCAATATATAAACATGACGAATTATTTCAGTGTTGCAGGACTGTCGACATTTCTGCACATGTACAGTTTTTTTGTAAATTACTGCTTAAGTATTTTCGTTTACTAGAAATGTTTTTTAATTACGATTATTTCTAATCAGTTTTTTGATTTCATGAATTTTATAAACAAAACTCATATTTCATTACGAGGACACTTTTTTGATCACCCACTGTAGATGTGTCGTATCACTGTGTGTGTCAACACGTCAAAAATAACAACATTTCTTTCAAGTGTTGCCAACAGAAGACATGTTTGGTGATATATTGACCAAAACACTTTCAAAAGTTTAATATCAAAACTTTACAAAGCTATTGGGAGTAGTTAAAGTCAAATAATAATGATAAGTTATAAGTTTGTATCATGAAGATTTGTTAGTTTTGTTAATGTGACTATTAAGTGGAAGTGTTAAAAGAAATTATTAAGTTGTAATATTCATATCTTAGGACACGTGACAAGAATGACGTCACATATACCTGCTTCCTTTTACACAGATGTGCAGGATTGTTTGATTGCCTAGCTGTACTTATAAGGTTATCAAGTTGATAGAAAGTCAGAGATCTTCAGTATTGTAAATGTATTTTATTGTAAAATGCAATGAATTTGCACATATCAACCTTAGCGTCAACAACTTGGCATCGACGAAAGACAATTGCAATACTGTGGGTGACACAGTGCTTAGAGACAATTGCTAAATTGTCCAGCTAAGTGCGAAGATCATATCTTCATTTAATTTCGAACACCGCACTGCATAAAACATTCTTTCATATGACATTCCTTTCACGAGAAAACATCAGCCCAACAAAATTGACCTTCTCACCACTGTGTGACTTCATAGCTCAGTTGCTCAGAGCACTGCACCGGCACCGCAGAGGTCATGGGTTCGAGTCCCGTTGAGTCACATGAATTTTTCAAGTTCATCAGACAATTGCTTAAATTGTCCAGCTAAGTGCGAAGATCATATCTTTATTTAATTTCAAACACCGCACTGCATAAAACATTCTTTCATAAACTATTTAATGATGACATGCATGAGTCCATTTGCGATTTTAAAGTAAATGTACTTCGTGGCATAAATAATTAAATATACTTTAGAAAAAGCCTTACCTTGTTTAAGATGGCAGTGATTTGTATTTGGTAAGCATATTGTTCTTGTTTGGAATTGTAACTTCGTTTGAATTATCTACAATTACAGAATTTAGGGGCTTCCATAGGTCACATTTATACGTCGTAATCGTGCATGAAAATTCTTTGTTTTTTGTCTTAAAAACCTTTTACTGGTTAACGGCGTGTAGCCTTGAACAGTTGAACTTTTAGAAAGATTTCAAATTCTGACAACTTAAGATTCATATATTCTTCTTTCGAGTCGATGAGTGGAAAATTATTTTCTGCCACGAAATTTAAACATCTCAACAATAGATTATGTAAAGCAAAGACAAGGTTTTATGATTTTTATTGTTTTTTTTTCATAAGTTTGATTACAATTTGGAACAAATTGATCAATAGAAATAAGTATAAATTTTACTAAAATATACCGTTTTTAAAATAGTTTGGAAGTATGACCATAAAGTGGGAGTTGTTGTAAATTGTCATGTCAAATTATGTAGTGTGTGACTGTGTCTTATTATAGATTATAAGATATAACGGATATTAAATTGATGTAAAATAGTATAGTCATGTAAAGAGAACACTTCCTCACCGCAATGCGTCATTGTGGTAGGATGCAGGTAGAAACGGAATGGCAAAGTTGCGCGTCATATGTAAACGCTCAAAAACCACTTCCGAATAATAGTACATAAATATAGCTTGCAAGCGTTGGTTCAAGAGTTCAGAAAAGTTGACGTTATTGGTGTATGAACTGGTCATACAAATTTGATGAATTAGAGTCGTATTGCAGAAGGCAATAAATTTCGAAAACGCAGTTCTAGGATTGATGGTTGTCCGTAATCTTATCGAGATCAAATTTAATCATTCCGTGTCGCAAAGAACCAACGCTTGGAACGTAAAATCGTGCACAACACTGTAAATATCTTATTGAAGTGTTAAAATTATATGTTCAAAATACAGTCCCATCGTTAGTGTGAAGTTTTAGAACAGTGAACCCACACTTCGCGCAGACTGTGCGAAACGTGGTCCTTCAAGCCGGATATATTAACAGTATTCAGAAGAACACAGAAATAGGATAAAGAGTTGTTCACGATGTCAGAGCTGACAAGAAAGCGGCAGTCGAGGAGTGGTCACAAATCGTACGCCACAAATTTGTGAACAAGGTGAGAAGTATGGTAAACGATAATGCGCCGTTAAGGAAAGTCGAACTGGAAAAATGCGGCTTGTACTCGTACAGAAATTAGATACAATTTCGAAGTTGGACGATGAGATTCAGAGCTTGTTTAGAAAATGATGAAGATATTGCGGCAGAATTGACGGCTCATCGGAATACAGCTGCAAAGTTTTGGGCGCGTTGGCCGAAATCAACGAAGCGCTGAGAACGATAGAGACAAACAAGCGAAATGAGGAACTCGCCAACACATCGGCAAGTACGATATCCAGTGGAGCACGCTGTAGAGTAAAGCTGCCTAAACTGGACGTGAAAAAGTTCTCGGGCAAGATACAAGATTGGCGTGAATTCTGGGATTCTTTTGAAAGTTCAATTCACAACAACGACGGATTGTCTGAGGTCGACAAATTCACCTATCTGAGGGGACTGGTGAACGAGCCTGCCAAGTCAGCAATTTTGGGATTTGCTCTGACTTCGATCAACTATGCAGAAGCCCTGAAAGTGTTAGAACGGAGATACGTGAACAAATTGATGGTGCAAAGGGCACATGTAAATGATATGACGAACTTAAAGCCCGTGTACAACAAGAATGATACGACGAGGCTGCGCAAGCTCTTTGACACCGTGGAAACGAATTATCGAGGACTCGAGGCGCTCGGAGTAAAGGAAAAGACGTATTGCGTGATAGTCGTGCCCAATCTTCTAACAAAAATTAAAACTGACGATTACCAGGGGAAGAGACTACTTAGAGTGGGGCATGAAAGATTTTGTCGACGCATTGCAAGTCGAAGTGGACCTGCGGGAATGCCACAAATTATCAGTTGGGGACAGGGGCGGATCTAGAGTATGTCAAATCCGTCGCGCGACTGATGTTTGAAATTCAAAAATTACCTATTCATATTAATTAAAAATTCATTAATTATTCTTATTTTCTTATCGCATTTACTTCGTGATAAAAATCCCGCATTATTTATTATTGAAAACTAATGACTAATCCAATGAATATCTCGTTGGTAACCAGATCAGTTGAATTTTAATTGACCTGGAATAACCAACTGATAAGCGGGGTGGCTCGACTGGTTCGACGGATAAAGGAGTCTATGAACGTCAAAAACGCTTATTTTATTGGTCAATAGCCAGATCAGTGGACAGTCTCGATTGATAATAAGGGTGGCCGGACGTATAAGGGAGTCCAATTGCTATCTTACAATTGGTTCATTTGAATTTTTGCTTTATTGTGATTGGTTTGACGGATTTCGACTGATAGCCAACTGAACTAACATAGTCAAGCTCACTGTCTGAATTGAATGTTTGATCGTTTTATAGTAATTTTTATAAGCATGATAGAAACTAAACTACAATCAGATGGAATTTATGGAAATCTTTTACAAATTCATATATTGACATGAATGCTGCTGTCCAAAATGTGAATTTTTTCAAGAGGGTGGAAATTTATGGATAAATTTTAAATGCTTGGCAAAGACGATCTCGCGAGCGACATTTCAGTCATTGATGTTCAAAAGAAAGCCAACATTGTTTTGAGTTTTATCAGCAGAAATTTACATCCAAAATCGTAAGTAAAGGACAAGTGAAGTGTATGCATGAATGTAATATATCAAAGTCAATTATGCGAGTGTGTGATGCGATTTATGTCAATATGGCGTATGGTAAGCAGATCGATGCTTCTAAAATTGTTGTTGACGAAGGACTTTTAGCTATGATTTCTTTAGTGCTTGGGGAATCGTGGCCGTTATATGGCAGCGAAATCCTACATTCCTGCAAATATATTTCAATGGACAAAAAATCTGTAGCCATAAGGCGCCATACTATTATTTACTTTATCATAAACAAATGTTTGGGGTTTTTCAGTTTATGATCATTGATCATTCAATCATTGGACAGTTATACTACATATTGTTTAAGATTTGAGAAAACTAACATTGATTACATGAGAAGCTGATTTTGAGTCTTCTGATCCATGAAGCTTTTTATTTTGACAATTTGACTGGAATGGTATTAAACCTGAGTATTTCACATACATGGAATGTTGTCCCATGTTACATATTGTCCCCTTTTCTAACTGAACACCTCATGCAGAGATGTAAAGGTGTGTTAATCTACGGCTCATACCAGATTGTTTGCCATAAATTCCAAAGGGCTATTGATGTATGAAAAGCATTTTCTATAAAGTAAAAATGTCTTTCTATGTATGCAGATAAACCTTGAAATTTGGCAAAACAGCAAAGTATTTTTCTGATGATCATTATAATTTCTAAACTAAATTATTTCTGATTTACATTTAAACAAGCTTTGATCATATGAAAAGATATTTATCATAACCAGTAAGCATGACACATGAACCAATTTTAACATTCATGTAATTATATAATTAAAGACATGTTGGTTACATTCTGTTTGTATTTGATAATACAATGCTACTAGTGATTGCTATATAGCACACCTTGCATATACTTACAGGAGATAATAGTCTAGTGAAATGCCTAATAAACATTTATGGCATTAAGCTGTCCTTCACTGCAAATTTTCACTCTGATAATTTTTGCTTAACCTTTGGAAAAAAAAAGTTTTGAGTTTTTTCAAAAGGTGAATTTGCTGGCACTGATGTGGAGATGGGTAAAGGGTTACATTAAACTTGCATGGTTTGAAGTCTGAGCTTTTCTATATCTATGAACTGTCACTTGTAGTACCAAATTTCTAACTTAACTAAACTCATTACATAGTGGTTTGAATGGGGGTCTCTAGAGGGGTCTTTGCCTGATAACTTGGTAGAAATTTTTAAAGACTATATCTGTTTTTGAATAGCATTATTGTAAAATAAATTTTACGTTCCTAGACATGCTAATGAGCCATATATTTGGCATGATAATGAGCCTAAATATTTGGCAAAACATTCAAGTATTGTTCACTTCATTTTTCTTTTTTTGAAAAAAATGTAAGCAAAATGTGTTGTTTTTACGCAAAAACGATGCCCACAAATACATTTTGTATTACTCTAAAACGCTGAAAATGGCATTTTCAAGGCTCTGAAATTCAAAATTTCTCAGGGGAGAATGCCTCAGACCCCCCCAGGTGCGGAGCGCCTTCGACGTTTTATGACTGATGTTTGAAAAATCCTAGATCCGCCCCTGGTTGGGGAAAAGGACGAAGATCAACGAAGAAGACGACGGGAATCAGGAGCAGCTAGCGGATTGCTTGCCAGCCGCAACAACCGATTGTTTTGAGCTTTCTGCTGTGGGGAGCACAAACACGAAGAGAGCAAGAAGATAACAGGACGGACAGAACGTATGCAACTTCTTCGTAAGTTTAAAAGATGTTTTGTTTGTCTAAAGAAAGGTCATTTAGCAAAAGATTGTCGTGCACGTACTAAATGTACTGTATGTGGGGAGGGTCATCATGTGTCTATATGTGACAAAGGGAGGAAGAGGAGGTTGAAAAACAGAGTGGTATCGCAGAGAAAACACAGCAGGTAAATGTGAGTAACGTGCATCTGAGTACAAACACTAAGTTAGCCTTGCAGACTGCGCAAGGAATTCTTGTAGTTCGGAATAGCAAGAGAGTGCGAGTGCTTTTTGACTCGGGAAGTCAGAAGTCTTTCGTGACAAACAGGGAAAAACAAGATGCGAAGCTTCATGTAGAAAGGCGGGAATGGTTAGAGGTCAACACCTTTGGTTGTGGAACAAATGAAAGTAAGATGACAGAGGTCGTCAATTGCGAGGTCGCATCTGTTAGGGTAATTGCAAAATTTGTTTAGAGGCATTAGTAGATCCACGTATTTGTACAGTAAAAAATGAGCATATTGAGGTGGCTAAGGAGCAGTATTCTTATTCGAAAGATTTGTTTTTGTCAGATGTAAGTTTGAAGCAGGAGATGTTGGAAGTGGATGTTTTAATAGGAGCAGATAACCTTTGGGCTTTTCAGAAAGGAGAAATAATTAGGGGCAAAAAGGATGAGCCAGTTGCGATTGATACTTGTTTAGGATGGGTTGTAAGCGGTCCACTGAAAGGGAGCTCGAAAGTCAAAAATGCACATGTTAATTTAGTTTCGCAGACTGCAACGCAGAATACAAACAGCATAAACAGGAAGGTCAACAAGTTGTGGGATTTAGAAACACTTGGGGTCAGGGAAACTGACGATGTGCACGAAGCTTTGTTAGATAAAATTGAGTTTAATGGGCATGAGTACTCTGTTAAATTGCCGTGGAAGCAGGGTCATGAGCATTTACCAAGTAACTATGCCAATAGTTTAACACGCATGAAAGAGCAAATTAAGCGCTTGTCAAATGAGCCTGATTTGTTAAAGGAATATGATAAAATTATCAGGGATCAACTAAAAATGGGAGTCATTGAAAGGGTTGACGAGTCAGAACCGAGGATGAATGTTCATTATCTTCCCCATCAAGCGGTGATACGTAAAGAAGCCAAAACAACTAAGCTAAGAATAGTGTATGATGCATCATCAAAGGAGGGTAAGAAAGTGACTTCTTTGAATGACTGTCTTCATGTAGGACCATCATTAACACCGTTGTTGTTTGATATATTAATCAGATTTAGGGAGAACAGAGTGGCCTTGGTAGGAGACATAGAGAAAGCATTTTTGAACGTAGAAGTAGACAAAGCAGACCGGGACTATTTAAGATTTTTGTGGGTTAGAGATGCGACTAATGCCAATTTAGAGGTTGTTTTTTCCAGGTTTTGCAGAGTAGTGTTTGGATTAAATGCTTCGTCATTTTTACTCAACGCCACGCTTAGGAATCACATGGCGCAATTTGCAGAATCACGTTGGTGTACAGGACCAAGGTGGCTGAGTAGCGTAGAAAGAGAATGGCCGAAATCAAAGGTAGGCGTAACTGAGGAGAGTAAAGAAGAAGAAAAGCAAACGGCACTATTAGTAGTAGATACTAACGAAAAAATAGGTATTCAGAACGTGATCTCTATAGAGAGGTACAATAGGGTTGAGAAGTTATTTCGGGTAATGGCATGGGTAGCACGATTTGTCAGGAATTTGCTCGCTAGGATCAGAGGGAAACATGAAGATTTAACCTTCACGGAATTAGGGAGTCAGGAGATAAGTAAAGCAGAAAAACTTTGGTTGAAGGCTTCACAAAACAGGCTAAAGAAGGAGGATAAGTCCAAGCAGTTAGAGGTACAAGTCAAGGTAGTACAAGATGAGGGGTTATTAAAATGTCAGGGTAGGCTAGCAGAATCAGACTTGGAAGAGGAAACGAAGTTTCCAATCTTATTACTAAAGGAAGGTAGATTGACGGAATTAATAGTTGAGCATTGCCACAAAAACGTACATCATAGCGGAGTTAGGGCAACTTTAGCTGAGATAAGGTCAACGTTCTGGATTCCACAAGGCAAACAGAAGGTAAAATCAATTCTCAACAAATGTGTCGTGTGTAAGAAATTAGAGGGTAAACCATATAATAGACCTAACGAAGCAAACCTTCCGGCATTCAGAGTGGAGCAAGCGGAACCATTTTCGAAGACAGGGGGAGATTTTGCTGGACCACCGTACGTGAACAATACATCAGGAGGGACAGACAAAGTATACATCGCATTGTAATAGAGGAGTTGTTTTTAGGGAGAGATGGGGTGGTAAGAGCGCTAAGGTCAGGCTAGTTAAGAACGGTAAAGTCATTCACCTCAATCGTCCCGTCCAAAAGCTCTTTCCTACCGAGTTAAAGCACGACGAAAGAGAATGTGAGCAAAAAGAGAATGAAAAGGACTGAGAAGAAAGGAGGCAAAACATGAGGGTAGACGCAAGAGAGCCGCTGCTCTTGATTCTGAATGGAAGACTCAGAGTATGCTTGATTAGTGGGACTAATCAAGGTGGGGATTGTGTTGTAAATTGTCATGTCAAATTATGTAGAGTGTGACTGTGTCTTATTATAGATTATAAGATATACAGGATATTAAATCCATGTAAAATAGCATAGTTATGTTAAGAGAGCACATCCTCACCGCAATGCGTCATAGCGGTAGGATGTAGGGAGAAACGGAATGGCGAAGTTGCGCGTCAAATGTAAACGCCCAAAAACAACTTTCGAATAATTTTACATAACTATAGCTTGCAAGCGTTGGTTCGGGAGTTCGGAAAAGTTGACGTTATTGTTGTATGAACTGGTCATACAAATTTGATGATTTAGAGTCGTATTGCAGAAGGCAATAAATTTCGAAAACGCATTTCTAGGATTGACGTTGTCCGTAATCTTATCGAGATCCATTTAATCATCACGTATCGCGAAGAACCAACGCTTGGAACGTAAAATCATGCACAACACTTTAAATATCTTATTGAAGTGTTAAAAATACAGTCCCATCGTTAGTGTGAAGTTTTAAGAAAGTGAACCAGCACTTCGCAGAGATTGTGCGAAACCACCTTTGGGATGCCAGACAAATGCGCTACTGACGGTGGACCAGAATTCACCACCGTCAAAATACGGCAGTTCCTCAAATAAGGGGGGGTACACCACCGCCTCGCCTCCGTTGCATTCCTGCACTCAAATTGCCGCGCTGAGGTTGCCGTTAAAACTGTGAAACGCCTCATTACGAACAATACCGGCCCCACCGGTAGCCACAAAAACGCCTTACAAATTGCTGTTCTACAAAATCGTAACACGCCCGATACCGATACGAAATTATCACCGGCACAAAGCGTCTTCGGTAGACTTATTAAGGATTTCATACCAATTTCACCCGGCTGTTATAGGCAACACACAACCTGGAGTGAAACACTCGATGCTCGAGAGGAGGCTTTACGAAACCGCCACATGAGAGCGGCGGAACTTTGGTGAAAACACACAAGAAGATTACCACCTCTGTCCATTGGACATCACGTAAGAATGCAGAACCAAACAGGACCGTACCTCACGAAATGGGACAATACTGGAACAGTCATCGAAGTCCTTCAACACGATCAATACCGCGTCAAAGTCGACGGATCCAACAGAATTACACTAAGAAACAGAAAATTTCTCCGGCAATTCACACATGTACAAGAGCGGCCACCAGATACTCGAGGATGCCAGAGAACCCACACCAGTGACCACAAAGCCTAGCAAGAAAGAACCAATAGCTCTACGCAGATTACTCGATTTCAACAAGAAAGGGCTGTTAGAAAATTGAGAGGATGAACAAATATCAAAGAACAACTTTATATTACGCCTTCCTATACTCGAAAAGACTTAGGGGATAGAGCATAATGGGATAATCGTTGATTAATAAGGTGCCTGGACCCTACTGTTATTGTTGTTTGTCATTCGTAAACGAATGACCTCTGTATTTTGTCTCTCAATATATATTTTACAAGATCCTCGTTTCGCGAAATAGACTAAGTGTAATCTAAAATATGCGTTTGTTTGCTCTAAAGTTGGGAAAAGTAAATCTCACAGTTGGATAAGGTGACATTTCATTATATTCTGATAAATCAAATGAAGGGAAGGTGATAGAAAATTCTTGTTGTAGTCTTGTAGAAATTCTAAAGATTTGTTAGCATCATGTTCAATGTTTGGTTGTATCTTTTAAGTATATTTAACTACAAGCTGTTTCTGGTAATCAGAATTGACTCGTAAGGTGGCAAAAGTTAAGTTTATCAAAATCACAAGTTAAAAGGATTCCATACCCAGAATACAAAAATGTTCATTGCTGTAATTGAATTGAATAATTAGTTTTTAATTAGTTAATCGGTCTAATTTTAACGAGAAGAGCCTCAAACGTGGCATAATTATATAAGAATTTCTGCTGTACACCAAAATGTGGTCCAAAAGCTCTGTTTTTTCAAATCAGAAATCAAAGTTTTTCAGTTTTATTTATTTAATGATATGAACTTGCATGTATCACCTTAGCGTCAACAGCTCGACGAAAGATAATTGCAACGTTACAAAACGACTAAATATTTAAAATATCAATGATGGCATGCATGAGTCCATATGCAATTTCAAACCAAATTTTTTTCTTGATTCATAAATGTCATTTCATAGCATCACAAGTATAATGAAATAACACATATTTTATAAATATACCGTCCGGACCCAAAGATAAATATAATTGCATGCTAGCAAGCAATTTAAATTCTTTAGCAAGCAAACACATCACGATAAACACGCCTTCCTTCAGATGACAGTGATTTTTTGTTAAGCAAATTGTTTGTATTTGTAACTTTGTTTAATGGGTGTACAACTACAAGATCACAAGTTGCTACGGGTATCTATGATGTCATTTTATAGTACTAGGTTGAGACTAATATTTATTAAAAGTGTATTAATTATATTTGACGAACAACTTTTATGTAAGATCTCATTTGTACATCGTTAACACACACGATAACTCTTTGTCTTTTCTCTTACAAACCTTTTACTGGTCGACGATTGAGGCTTTGAACATTCGATCTTTCCGATCTCTAAACGTTCTGAAAAGTTAAGGGTCAAATGGTTACGTCCTTTGAGATGATACGTGGCAAATTATTTTGTGCAACTTAATTCAAAACATTAAAAAGTTTATTGTTATGTAAAGCAAAGATACGGCCTTATGATTTTTATTGTTTTTATTAACATGTTTGAATTTTATTACCGTTTCCTTGGTATTTTGGGAGTTTGTTCAAAAAAACCTTAGCTCCATAATTAAGAGTTCGTCTTGTACATGAAAATTTACAATATCAGATTGTGGAACTTTTGTTTCATTTTCTTGTTTAAGTTGAATAAGACAAACTAGGCCTTCGTTGGCTTAAATGTTGGGAAAAGTAAATCTCACGCCTTGATAGGATAACATTACATTATATTCTGATAAACTAAATGAAGAAAAGCTGATATAGAATTCTTGTTGTAGAAACTATAAAGATTTTTAAGATCATGTCCGATATTTGGTTGTATCATTTAGGTATATTTCAAGCTGTTTCTGGTAATCAGAATTGATTCGTAGGATGGCAAAAGTTAAGTCTATTAAAAGCACAATTCAAAACGACTTCACACCAAGAATATAAAAATGTCCATTGCTGTAATTGAATTAACTAATTAGTTTATAACTAGTTGATTGGCATAATTTTAACCCACCTCCATGTGGTCGAAAAGCTTTGTTCTTATAAACAATGTTGTACTCAGATATTTCAAGATTACAAGTATCATGTAAGCTATGTTTCTGCGATGAACACTACATCGGGTTCTTGCTTGGCAGCGAAATCGCGAATTATTTTGAGCTTGTCTTTTTAAATGTGAAGCCTAATTATATATGCAAAATGCACTTCCGGTTACCCACTAGAAATACAAATTACTGTAGAAGTGTTTGGCGGATAACGTTTCCAAACAAGGATTTTCGAATATTTAAGACATTTGGCGACGTTTTACTTATTTCAAATATCTGTCATGGATAACCCAAGCTCTTTAAATCAATTTGACATGAAAATTATTTCGATACCTGTAAAATATCGGCGTTCATGTTCATTTGAAAATCGCCCGTGCAAGAATCGAATTTGCCTAATAGTTGTGAAGACAAGATAATGCACAGCTCGCTTTCCAAGTTTAGAGGCAGTTATGATCTAGAATATGTTTCAATGCGTAAAAATTGTGGTAAGTACCTTTATTTTATCATTCTTTATAATCTAGAGATTGTCGTATGTTACTTTTGCCGTGACTTTATGAGTCCGGGTATATTGGTGTAGGAACAAACAAATTTACTAAGCTTAGTTTTTACTTAGTTTTAATTTCTATTTTTATTTTATAAAGATAATATTATCACTACACCTTGCTACAGCATTTGGATATGGTATTCATCAGTACGTATGGTTGTTATTGTCATAACATGCAGGGGCGGATCTAGGGTATGTCAAATCATTCACGCGACTGATGTTTATAGTTCAAAAATTACTTATCAAATTTAATGATTACAATTTTTTGTGATCATTGAATTCCCGATGTATTATCGTATGAATTTCATTGTCAAAATTCTGTTTTATATCTAAAATCTTACGTAAATATCACGTTTTAGCATATCTGGAATTATATTAACTGACTGACTGATAAGCGGTGATGATTAATATTTTTTAACATGAGGTTATGTGATTATGTGATTTACAAAATGTTTTTGATTAAGAATCACGTAGCCTTAAACCTTCAAATATTTATACTTTCTATTGCAAATCACAGCAGTTTTTAAACAGTGATATAATTTTACAAAGAGGTAATTGAATGTTTATTCATAACAATGCATGGTTGCTTTATAATACAAGTAAGTATCGTTTGTCCAATTATTGCATTCAAGACAATATGTAGTTTACAACCCACTTTTTTATCTCTTAGATTGGTTTATTAACTTAGCCCATTTCTTTAGTAAGCTTGCAATGTCAGTTAAATTATTTTTATTTAGTTGCTTAGAACATTTTCCATTTGCTGTTGTTAGCAAGTAAACTATAATGTTATACTTAAAATTTTAGGGTTATGTATAAATTAGGTATGATACATGCATGTAAAGTAGAGAATAAGTTACAAATGGTTGAGGAGACATATAAGTTACCATGACCTGTGAATGAGATTTGTCATTTTTTTTTAATTAAAACAATTTGCTAAGTGTTGTGATCACTAGCACTTAGGGGGAATGGGTTGTAACATTAGGATATGTTTAAATCAATCAAAAATAAATAGAGTGACAGTTACATTTTATTATTTATTTTAGTTCATATCATATTGAAACGTGACCGGGTGCAATACAGAAAAAACTGGATTGCTGCTAATAAAGCTTTAAGATGCAGTGATGTAATGCCTAATGATGATGGCTGTAGTAATCTGTTCAATAATGTTTTTGATAATGACCATGAACATTCACAACCTTTACAAAAATCAGCTCAAACCATTGCCAGTCCTAAAGAAAGTTCTTTCTTTTTGAAAGTTGGTCTTAATGATTGTGATATTGGGGAAAATGACCGTGCTGTTTCTGGTGAAGATGATATTTTAGATGTTTCTTTTTGCCATGGAAAAGCTGATTCTTTGTTCCATGTGAATGCAGACATTGGGGAGAGGTATTTTCTGTTTCTTCTGATTTTGAACATGATAGTTTAAATATTTCTTTTCAAGATGGGTTAGTTGATTAGGTGAATGAGTACTCAATTAAACAAAATGCTGTTGATGGTTTGCTTGCTCTTCCTAAGGATAATGGTCATCCAAATTTGCCTAGTTGCGCTCGCATTTTGTTGCATACATCAAGATGTATTCCCATTTTGAAAAAATCTGGCATGGATTATGTGTACTTTTCTTTTGGTGAACAATTGTTAAAGTACTTTCACAAGCATCCTTGTGAAACAGTTAAGAACATTAATCATTTTGAAATGTCTTTAAATGTTGCTGGGCTTCCTTTGTTTAAAAGTTATGCAAAAAATGTATGGCCAGTATTGTGTGCCATTTTGAATATCAAACCTGTTTTAGTGTTTCCTATTGTCCTAACATGTGGTGACTCCAAGCCAAAAGACTCGGAGCTTTTGGATGAGATTATAGAAGATTTGAAGGGTATTCTATAGAGGGGAGTCCAAGATGGGGAAAAGGTTCTGACTGTAACAGTAAGGGGAATTGTTTGTGATGCTCCTGCAAGAGCACTTGTTAAAGGTACAAAATTTTGTACTGATTATTTTGGTTGTGACAAGTGTACACAAAAAGGGAAGTGGCTTGGTCGAGTGACTTACTCTCGAAATAATAATATAGAATTGCTCGCTAATATTTCCTTTAGAAAGCAGATACAAGAAGAACATCGTTGCTTTGTTAGCCCTTTCTGTCACTTGCCTGTTGATATGGTAAAACTATTTCCAATTGACTACATGCATCAACTGTGTCTGGGTGTTATGCGTAGATTGATTATGGTTTGGATGAGGGGAAATCACGCTGCTAAAATGTCTTTTGCCATTTAGAGACTGTTAGTAAAAAATTAGTGGAGCTTAAACCATTTATCCCGTCTACATTTGTGCGAAAACCTAGGAGTTTAATGGAGGTTAACAGATGGAAAGCTACAGAATTCAGACAGTTTCTTTTGTATACAGGCAAAATTTCTTTCAGCCGTCAATGAAATCTTATCACAAATCCTAGATGAAAGTACTGTAGTTGGAATGCAATAGGCCATTGCTTCATTCAAAGGAGTGCAGTTTTTCACATATTGCTACCTTGCATTTAAATCTAATGAGTAATTTTGCTTTTTAGATTTGCCGGTGTAAAGCGAGCTGATCTCCCTTGCAGAAAAAGGTATATGCGCTATTATAATCTTTGTACAAGTGGACAATTTTTTGACAGAAACATTCAAGTATAAAATTTCTCTTTTCATACTAATATAATGTTGATCTAGATTTATATGACGGTGAACTAGCGCCAGAAATCCTAAATACAAAGGATCATGCAATAACTTCCCCATCTACTAGTGGGACACCATCTCAGCCTAGTGGTAAGTTTTCTGTCATCAGAACTGACTAATCAGCAACTTTCATATAATATGTCGACTAAAATGTTGAAATAATTTTGATTGATTCTTTTTAAATAACTTTAACATTCGTTTTGTACATTTACTATTTTTCTACGTCCATCGTTGCATTATAGGGCTTATGTATGTTCTACAGGTGCTGTAGGCGTTGGTCCTTTAAAATGTTATTGTAATTAGTTGAAAAAATGTTAGTTATAGTTAAAATTGCAGTTGTGTACACCACGATTTAATCAAAATACATTCGTTCAAATCTAATTCTCAGTGTTTGCTATCAAACTACTAAATGAAATTTTCTCGGGGTTTTTATTTTAGTCACCTTTCTGTTTTTGACTTTTGAAACTTGTAGTACCTTAATTTAAATGCCGTTCGTGCGTTCAATAAAGATATATGTTAAATCCTACAACTGGCACTGAATTCCTACAACTGGCACAACAAGAGAAAGACATTCTCAACGAAACAGTGGTGTCTTAGGCAAGCTTTTCTTACAATTCATTATTGCATGTCTTGTTGTTACGTTTTCATTTACGTTCATTTCGTGTCGTTTGAAATGTTTTTTTTTTCTTCACAACTAACTGCAACACGTGATTGCTTTGCAGATGCGCATGACCTTTTATCGCACGAAACGCCTTCGACAAGAATTATGAACATAACACTTGCAGGAAGACGTTCTCAACCAAACATTAATGGTACCTTTTCTACAGTATATAATTTTTGAATAGCGTTGTTATTATGTATGTGTATTCAATTAGCAATTTGATGCGAGTTTTATTTGAATTTTCTTTTTAGCATGTTGTAAGGTTTTATATTTTTAAGATATTACGTAGGTTATACGGAAATTAAACTTTAGTTCGTGTCATTGGAAAGGCTGTTTTATGATTTCACAAATAATGCATCATTAATTGTACGTTGTATGAACGTCAGATAAACGTTGTATGAACGTCGGATAACCGTTGTATGAACGTCGGTGGTTAAAATTTCACCTGTATGGTCACATCACTCTCAATGGGGAAGACCTGCGTACAAGAATAAATAAAAAATTAACTTACTATACTTCTTGTTAAAGAGCATTCTTACATCTTCATGAGTCCATTTCTGTTTTTCTCGGTCTACATCTCGGTCTACATCTACCAAATATAGCATACAAATTTTTTTTTAGCTATACAAACTACAATTTTATCCCAAAAAGCTTGCTTCGCGATTTTTCACTCTTTTCAGAGGATTTAATGAAGAGTGAGAAATCACGAAGCAGGCTTGTCAATAGAAAATTATAGTTTGTGAATTTTTGTTTTAAAAGAGTGCTCAGTATCTTTATAGAATGAGCAAAATATAAATTTATAAAAGTAAAATAAATACTATCGTGAAAGCATCAACTAAACTGTCATTCACCTGGTATTTGCCAAAAGGGAGAAACACAGTGTAGCAAATGGTTTCATGATATTATATACGTATACCACTTTATAAGATACCAAAAAATACCTTAATATTTACATTTAGAAATATGCTATTTTGAAATGGGATGAACATTTTGCAACAACACGTAACACAACATTATAATAAAGGTCTGAAACTTAGTCATATGTATCTACTTGACAACTACCCAGTAACTGGTATCCACGAAACTGGTGCTGACATATCAACAGACTTTAAACTTTATGCCTATTACGTATTTGTGATCTTTGCAATTTTTTTACTCTACCAAACATTGCTTGAAACTTGCACAAAACTGCTGGTTCATTGTGAACAAATCTTTTTCCTCCAGATGAACCAAGGACATAAAGTTCTTTTTTCCATTCACCAGTAAGCAGCTGGCCTGGCAACCAAGATACTTCAAGTAACTGAGCTAAAAGAAAAGTAAAATAATTGATAATGGTCACATTAGGCATAAGTACTGCAAAAAGCATGTATAGTTTGCAACAATATGGACTTTAACAAATGGCATGAGATGACATTTGTTTTTATTATTATTGCTATTATTTTTTATCTACTATACATAGTTTCTGTTGTTGTTGGTATTGCTATGATAATTATTATTTCTACAAATGTAATGCTGTACCATCAATGCTATTGTAATGACCATCATTACTGATGTAGAATTAAACAGAATCTTTTCTTGTCCAAACACTATTCTACATATCCCAAATTATATGACATATAGGTCTGCATTGCATCTGTGATTAAGGCAGTGGAGTATAAATATTGTCATAAAATATCAACAACAACAGCAACAACAATCATCTCTTCAGTGATTAATCTTCTTGGAACCAAAAGAATTTTACAATCACTTTTCACAGCATTTAGTAACTGTACAAATTTTCAATTTCACAAAAACTTTAAACTTCATACTACCATTAAATATAGTATATTATTATTAAATCATTTCTTCATTAATTCTTTCATAGCCTTATGAAACAGTTCAACTGATACATTCCACACAACCAGAATACAAAAAAATTTCATGCCAGATGACGTTCAAGTCAAATTTCATGCCAAAAGAAAAACAAGTTTGCAATAAGAAAGAACTTTCTATCTGGTAATCACTGCAACCATGTTTGCACAAAAAATACATGCTCAAAACAAAGAGTTTTACTCAACATAACACTATTACAAATGCATCCAATGTTAAGGCAATATAAACTTCCTTTATCAAAATACCAAGAGTTATGTACATTTCCAAAAACTAAACTCTCCCCAATCAATGGCCTATTCTAATTTATTCTAATTACTTAATGCTACCTCTGCTATTCATTGCAAAATTTATTTATTAAAACGACTGTTACCTCCTCAGCTAAAAGTTTCATATGTTGATCAACCAATTTTGTTCTTTGAGCATCATCTAATGTCATTGGCTTGTTTTTCATGTCATTAGCTTTCTGTATGTATTTATTTTGCTCAGATTCTTCAAGACCAATCCATTTGACAGAAGTTAATTTATTTTTTTCACTCAGGTGAGACAACCCCTTTACCTCATCTACAATAATGGATAAATTTGTCAAGCTTTCCTCACAGCAAATTCTTGATGGGTAACATTCCTTAAACCCTTATTGATGATACTAATGTGATTTTCATATTTCATTCACCTGATTTAAAAAATTCGGAGCTAAATAGATTATATCCGTGTGACCCCCATAATCTGGGTGGTGGTTTGGGGACTTTTGGTGGATTACATGAGGGTAAGGGTGACTCTGAATTATTAGATTGACATTTTCTTTTGACAGAAGCAACTTTGTTACCAATCCATTTCTGAAAAAAAGAATAATGTCAGTTGGGAAGAAGCTTTTGAATAATTTCAAAACATGCAGTATCAGATATATTTTGTGAAAGTTTTACTGACATTATAACATCAAGTGTTACAATAAAGCTGCACCAGTTACTGTGATTCACAGCCTATAACTCTGTACATAAAGAATGTCTATTGTATATCACAACACATTATAAGAATGTGCTTTTTGAAATAAAGGAAAGTTTAAAGTAGAACTTCATACTGTGGAATAGAAATACAAATTTAGGAATGTGATTGAGATACGTATGGCTTTGATTTGATGGTGTTGCTTTCGTTGTTTGTTTATTGCATACAGAAAAATTCTTAAAAGAGGCGGACGACTATAGAAGAGGTCGTTCTTACCTTGACCTTGTCCACAGACAACGTTTCTTCGGCGGCTGTTTTTATCAGCTCAAAACACAGAGTAGATTTCATGCCATTCTCAAAATAGTAATTAAGAGCATCAATTTGCTGTCTTGAAAATTTGTTATATTTTTGAGGTCTGTTGTTCATTGTATTTAAATAATTCCTTGGTATAAATTATTAGTGTATGTTTGGAAACAAAAATGGCGACGATCTCAGATATTATTATCCTTATGCGTAGAATACTGTACAACAACATCATACCGCATCCATTATTAGATAGCACAAAAATTAATCTAATTTGGCTATCTTCCGCATTTTAAAGTTTAGAACTCTGCGTAATACCCATTTAGAATGAGCGAAACGGGTGCAAGACCAGACTTTTAAGCTGCGTGTTATACCGGATACACTCTTTATTTGCTGTAAAGGCTTCATTTGTTTTCTTAATTGCCTTTGTTCAGTCTCTTAGATAATTATTGTCGATTTCAATTAACTTTTCAAATTGCGGTTGCCAAGTTACTTTCTAATGTTGCCAGTTACTTTTCCAAATATGGAATATTGGATATGAACTTGTCAACTTGAGTTGACAAGTTGTGTACTTGAGTACTGAAGTTGTGCACTAGAGTACTGAAGTTGTGAACTAAAGTTGCGAAGTACTGGCAAACGTGAAAGGTCTTTGTACCCTGTAGACATTTGGCAATGATCCGTTCAGTAAGCAAGGAAAGCTTTACCAATAGAAGTAAGAAATGAAATACTTGAAATATGGTTAAATAACGAGCGTTTAACAAACATTTCGAAACAACTAAATCTACCGTATAAGACTATATCAAATATAATAGATCTATGGGTTCTATTGCACCTCGCCAGAGCGAACGTGATGTTCGAACCACGCGTACAGATGACGTTATTGAATACACTAAATATCTAAAAATTAATAAACCATCTATTTACGCAAAAGAGATTCAGTAACACCTAGAAAATAACAAAGTTTGCGTTCCAGCAAACATACCTAGCAGGTCATCCATTAGTAGAATTTTGAATAAAGATCTTGGTTATTCTTACAAGATAATAAGTCAAATTGCTCGAGAGACAGAACGGCCGGACGTTATGGAGAAGTTAGAAGCTTACGTAGCAAATATTACATTGATGAGTCGTCTGTAGTTGTTACGAGTGGCAACAGACGTCGAGGGCACAGTATATAGGGTACTCCTGCATTTAAAATCCAACGATACTCTTCTAGGGCCACATTTACCGTAAATTTATTACATAATGTAAACGGCGTATCGCATTATAACACTCTTAGAAGGCCGTCAAACGGATTAGAATTGCTAAAGCTTTTCCTTGCTTACTGAAAGAATTCATTGCCAAATGTCTACAGGGTACAATCACCTTTCGCGTTTGCTAGTACTTCGCAACTTTCGTTCACAACTTCAGTACTCAAGTACACAACTTGTCAACTCAAGCTGACAAGTTCATATCGAATATTCCATATTTGGAAATGTAACTGTCAACATTAGAAAGTAACTTGGCAACCGCCATTTGAAAAGTTAACTGAAATCGACAATATTGTTTATTAAATTCAGAGCTTAAGTCCATTTAATTGTGTTTCTGGCATTAACCATTATCACTGCCTTTTAATACTTTAATAAACTGGATCTTGGTAATATTGTAACTCCAGAAATAGCATTTACTATGGTATAAGAGTTTTATTATGTATTTTATAAAGTTGACTTTAAATGTCATACGTCTTCAACAAAAGCAATTGAGAATAAAATTTAAACAATCAGATATTATATCATTCAATAATGTAAGCTAGATGCAGAAATGTGATTATACATCATCCAAATACGTCGTGAAATGTGTTTTGGTACTTTACATCTATAAAATAAATCCTTTAACTTCCGTATCGTTGATTTGTTATTTGTTTTCCTGTCAGTAAACTTTTCATTGTGGTTCGCTTTCATTAAAAACTGAAAAAGTTCTTAAGTTCTAGATTGTTTTTCAATTCGTCATTACATCAGACAGCCGCGCGCACCCGAACTGGGATTTCCAAAAGAACTCCTTAAGATCATCGACTTTATAAAATGGAAGGCTTAAGTGCTGGTCGCAATCAATCGATCTTTCAATGAAAGCCAACAATCAAAATAATGATATACGTAAAAAATTTATTAGTCTTTTCCAATCTGAGTAAATTCTATTTTACAAGGTATCGTTCCTGTTCACTTGCCTTTTCACAAACTGTTCTTACTGTTTAAAAACTGTTTATTTTTGATGTGATTTCTTTTCACTGAAATTTAAAAAGTTCTTGAGATCTGGATTGTTTTTCAATTCTTCATTGGACCTCACAGTAGCATGCACTCGAACAGGGAGATTGGGGAATTTTTTGAGAATATACGCCTTGTGATCGCCAATCTTATAAAATGGTTCTGGTTGAGGTTTTGGCCGTGGTCGATCGTTCCAATGTTGGTTAATATTTCGAATAAGTCTTAAACATTCTGTCCATGAAGAGTCATATGTAAAAAATTTTCCAGTCACCACGTCCGTTCTAAAATAATCATAAATATCTCTGTCTATTTTACTTTTCCAATCTGAGGATTCACTATTCAATTGTTGAACAACACTACACAGGGGATCATTTGTCTTAATCTGCTGAAGATTTCCAACTTTACATAATAAGTCAAATTTCTCGTCATCTGACATAAGAAATGGATGTTTTAACGCCTCGTTAGCCGATGGTCTGTCTTCGGGTTCTCGGTTTAACATCCACGATAGAAGGTCTTTCAATGTTTCATCCTTGATTTCCTCCAAGCCAACAGGTTGTCCGTTCAACATGTTGATCAGTCTATACGGTTTAGTTCCAAAAGGGTGTTTTCCTTTCGTTGCAATATAATGAGCTACCATTCCTGCATTCTAAAAAGATTAACAATGTAAAGTCACAAATTGACTGTATATATGCATGACTTGCAACTGATTATATTCCTGCACCTACCATTACATCAGACTCTTTCTTGTACCGTCCTTTATCGACTGTATCTTTATCTTCACAATATGATTCAGGAGCAATCCAATACTCAGTTCCCGTGTTAGGCTTGCTTTCATATGTCGTACAATCATTATTCAATATTCGACTAATGCCAAAATCAGCTATCGGAAATTTGCCTTGTGAATCTCGAAGAACATTCGTGGGCTTTAAATCACGATGAAGAATAGGATTTGGGCCGCTATGAAGATCAGCTAATCCTTGCAAAATTTGTCTAAGAATTTTGGGAAGAGCTTTTTGAAGTTTGTGTAAAGTAGAAGATTCTACGAAACTCTCCAACGATTCTTCGCATAAGTCTAATATCAAATATACATATTCTGTTCCAGTCTCTTCCTCTAGGAAAGAATAATTCACAACATATTTCGACTTTCTTGCGTTGAATTCATTCAAAATTTTCTTTTCGTGCAGCGCAAGCTGGATGTAGCTATCTTGACGTATTTGTTTCACTGCTTTACCGTAACCATCCTTACCCAGTCCAAGAAAAACACGGGTTGCACCACTTCCTTTGCCAATGCAAAACTCTTCGGAGAAAATTACTCTTACATTGCCCACCACTTTGACCTCAACACTGGAATTGCGCCCATATTCAATCAATTTTAAAAACAATTCTCTATGTTTCGTTGATTCATTAATGTATTTCCACTCTTGCAACACCAATTCTAAAAAAATTAGACAAAATATTACATTCAAGGGTGAAGGAAACGAAATTAATACGTCAAAATAGGTTAACCTTTCCCAATCAGGAAAGGGTATTATTAGCTACAGCAAATTTGTGAAAAAACTTATCAACAACCATTAGACAAATCGTAAGTTCTTTAATTGTACAATCAAATCTGGCAACCTCCGAGGTTAGCTTATACCATACAATTAATCACAAAAACTTCTTTCTGCAGTAATTTCATATATTTTTTTAAGAAATAACCTTACGTTTTTCCAAAATATTAAATTTTAATTTATAGAGCATATTTTTTTAAAATCTAAAAATTTTTATAGCAGAAGATAACAAAATAGCTCATTCAAATTTTTCTTTCCATTCTCGACACTCGTCTTATAGACAGACATCTTATGTTTGATACCAAATATGAACATTGAAGTTCGATCAACAGCGAAAACTCAACAATTATTCTCTCAAACCTTGTTAGAACATCATTAAAGTGCCAATGAAACGAAAACGTTGCTAGTTAAATTATATTTACATTAACCAGAAATTTTGAAATGAATGCTTTCTAAAAACTTTTATGTATGACTCTTTCATTCTAAAAATACTGAAGTGAAGTCCTTGCTATTACCAATTTATGCAACTTGTGACATCATATTGCATGCAAAATGAGGCTCTACCATGTTTTAAATACACTTAATATTCCTGACAACTTTACATTGATAATAGTAGGCAGTATTTTATATCATTAACACATCACAAAGAAAAACACTCTGCAAAGTTGAAGTAAAGTATTAGCAAATGTACCGAATAATTCTAGTTCTTATTATGCAATGTGACGTCACAAGTTAGATGAATCGAACATAATAAAAGCTTCAATATCTTGAGAACGAAAAGAGATACGCATAAACTAGTAGAGAAACTCCGTTGTCATATTAAAATTTCTGTTCAATAAAAGAATAACACAGGCTGCAAAATTTCGTTTTATAGGCATTTTAAGCTTTAACTCTAAATTATCTGACACGTACTGTTTCTCTTATTCACCTTGGTAGAGTGAACGACGTTATCTTTACGTCTCCAAACTCAAGCTCTACTTCCTATTTTTCTTATTCTCGTGCAACGTTGCTTTTTTTCTTTTACCTTTGCCAAATGGAAGATGGTTTTTGCAGTTTTAAATTATTTTATCAAGCATATGATGATTTATTTACAAGAAACAATTTGTCTGTCATGTGTCTATTGTGTCAGGGTTTTTGTCGTCGGGAAAAGTTCCTTTTTGATGAAATTTTTACTCAGGTAGAAAATGAATCATGCAATTCAATAAATTTTTAACATCACAATTAAAGTAAGCGATTTAAATTCATATCATATTTTTCAGTCCTTTTGATAAAATTCTTGTCAGTTTGAGAAGAGTGTGAAAGAAATCATGATGTTTTAGTGCTAAAGTATAATAAATTGACGAGATAAACAACACGAATGATGCAAGCAAATGATCGAACTTTCGGCTTCAAACGTTGTAACATCTTTTTTGTATTTTATGTGTGAGGCAGAACATTTCAATTGTCTTTGTCTACCACAATCACGTTTTAGTAATTTGAAAGATTTTCTCGCATAATAGAACGCTCCTTCGGAGATCTCTT